GAGACTCTGATGATGTAACAGGCTCATCGTGGAGGACCTGAGAGCCCCGAGCTGGTGTCAGTGGTTGCTCATTAACGGCTTTTCCCCTGAGCCTCCATCAAAGACCGTTCAGGCTGTTTTGTACGTTAACGCAGCTGATCCCCAACCAGACAACCACCTGAAACTGACACTTTAATGCCATTGATCTGGGCCGGTATTGATCACTAAAGGACATTGTCTTTGGTATTCAGCTTTTGTACTTTTAATGGTCGTCAATCATATCAACTTTTCACTACAATTAGGCCTAAACCATGGTCCAGGGTTGCCAGGTTTCAGAGACCCAACCCGAACAAGAGAAAAAAAAGAAAGAAAAAATGATAAAACACCTTCTGTATTAAAGGAACGTTGTGTAACTTTTCTTGTCAAGGGTCTGTCACCTGTTTTCTCGCTGGAGGTGTTACTTGCTTTGTCTGGAATGTTTCGCAGTATGGTATTAAAGCTTTCTATCTTCATGGAGACTAAACCAGGCCAAGTTACAGGTCAGATCTGTGGAAAGGCGAGCCCCTCACAGTCAGAATGCTTGTTTTTCTAGGTATTTTTTAGCTATAAAAATCACCTGTGATTGAATAAATGTAAAGTAGAGCTGTTTAATGTCATACTGTGGAACATTCCAGGCAGAGAAATTACATATCCATAGAAACAGGTGTCAAACCCTCCACCAGAAAAGTTGCGCAATGCACCTTTAATGAAATTTCTGCTTCTCTAGTGACACTCCCCCTCCACTCTCTCACACAAATAGAGGTTCCACAGAGCACTGATGGATTTGGATATGAAGATTTTCCAAAATTTAGAACTATCATTAGGATTATTTTAAAATCCAAACATTTTACATGGAAAATAGTTAAAATAGTGTTAAAATACTGTTTGGTGTCTCTTTAAAAGCAAATCAATTCCACTTTGAAACTGCATATCTGGCAACACTGTCCTCATCTGTGAGAATTCTAACGCTGACTGACGTGTTTTATTGTCATGGATCTATAATAAAAACTGGATAAACCCCTTCCCCTCCATCCCAGCTTGAGATAGACTAGTGGCCGCTCCAGGTACTGCAGTTCCCCGGAGCTTGGGCCCAGAAATAATTCTCCCAAAGAAGCACAATGCATTTTTTGGGAATTTAAACTGCCCGTGTTCATCTGACAGGGCATCCATAACTTTCACAAAGGTTGGATTTTGTAGGATTCTTTTCTATTTTCACAACATAAACTTTTTAATTTTTTTAAGTCCACAAAGCACCTAAAAGTTTGCTTTGTAAGACTTAGCCTAGCCCCGCTCTAGCAGCTCTCGCTCTGATTGGTCCAAACGCTCCACGTCATGCCCTTACAGACGTCACACCCCTACTGAGGAAGTAAATGCGAAACAGAGAATTATTTTTGGGCCCATGCCCCAGTGAGCACAGACTATTGAAAACAATATGACGCCATCTTGGGTTCACCTTCAGATTTAATTATAGTTATATGATTATTTTAGCATAATCGCATAGCTAGATCCGGCAATGGTTAATCACTGTTTTAGATCACTCCACTGTGAACATCACCTTAGCAACGTGTAAACAAATGAACTACTGTTAGGAGGGACTAGATTCAACTAAAACAGAAACAACTGATGCTTTCAACATCTATGGAGAGCTGAAACGTTATCAGATTTAAAAGTGAATGATTTTCAGTTTGTGGGATCTTGGTATGAGCAGATTAAACAACTCTGAGCAGTACGTTACACTATTTTAACACTGCGCGTCATTCTAAATAATTTTTACATAATCCACGCTCAACTCTGAACTGTAGTTTGCATCTTCAAAGATCCTATATTGCGCAAAATTGACACTTGTGGGCTTTTAGTCGTGTTTTAATGTTGTTACCTCATCAAAAACAGACCTGGAATTGTGTTTTGTTTCATTCACACATGTTTGAGTAATTCCGCGTTATTAGTCTGTCTACATCAAGCTCAAAATTCTCTGTTCCACCTTAACATCTTAACAATTTAACAGCTCCTTTGGCTTTTTACTGAGTAGAGATTGGCAATTCCAGCGCTGAAATGATCAAAATAATTCTAAAAGCCCTTGAACATCAAGTGTCCTTAACGACTGATGGTTCATGGTTAGAAGTACTTTGTTTGGATCAAGATTTAGTTTTAGTTTTAATTACAGTTAACGAAAATGCCACGCTAATTAACTCGCCAAAACCTATAATAGTTTATTAGACAGAAAGTATAATTGGTATTTTAAGATTTATGATTAATTGTATTGCATTGCTTACATGATGGACAAGTTGTGTGTTATAATTTGGGTTCCCAGTTTCAATTATTATAAACATACATACATGTAAACTGATAAATGTACACAAAGAATACAGTACAACACAATACAATGCTGAAATCCAGTTGGTTCAAACCTAAAAGGACTCTCTCTGATCTGAGTCCGACCTAAACCCCACCACCTGCAGCCGGTCATGACTCAGAGCCTTTGCTGTTGTTGTGCGCTGGAAAACTCAGTCTGCAGGTTCAGCTGTGATTGTAATACTTTTTTTAGCTGTCAGAGTGCAGGCTAAGTACAGTTCCTTTAACAGTCTCCCTTCCACCAAATATTAAAACCCACATATTGAACATTACTCCATAAAAACATCCCATTTTACGCTATTTTCTGATCTGTTATAACGTTTAATCATCAAAAACAGATCTGGAGTTGTGTTTTGTTTCATTCACACACGTTTGACGCACAAACCCTGCAGATTTAGACTGAGTTCTTCTCTTAAATTGACAACACTTTGTTCCAGCTTGTTGCAATACAGGTGCTCTACTGCGTTTTTAAACTCCATAAACCTTCATAAGAATCATTTGGATGATTTCAGCCCTGGAATTGCCTAACTTCACTGAACAAAAGGTTAATATCGGCTTGAAAACTACTGCTTCATGACTTCATGCTTCAAGGTGGAACAGAGCATTTCATAATAATAAAGGGTTACTTAAACGTGTGTGGACGCAATAAAACACAACTCCAGGTAGGGGGTGGGCGATATGTATATCGAGATATTTTTCAAACACAAAATGGATTCTGACGTATCGTATGTATCGATATGGTATGTTTTAGAAGAAGTAACAACATTATAACATGCCTTAAAGTTCACAAGAGTCATTTTTGCGTAATATACCTTAATTGTTCATACTAAAAAACATGATACCTGATTGTTGTCGGGTAGTTTGAATCCTCGGTTTATTGGTCCTTCCCGCTCGGATATAAACAGATTTGCAGTGAGCAGAGCGGCGTGTTCTCTGCGGTGGAGGGGGCTTTGTGCTGTCATGTTTTCTGAATAGTGTCGGTAACAGCTTCACGAGGTCACTTTCCTCCAGCAGACATCATGTACCCAGCATTAGTTCCAGTTTGTATCCACTACAATCCCCTTGAGGAAACGATAATGCTGACTTTGGCTCGCTGCCACAGTTCAAGCACAAAAAATACTTTAATCGACGAAAGTTGCTGCCTGTTATCCAGGTTTTGGTTCATGGGGAAATCAGATGTAACACGCAGTCAGACAGATTGTGTGTAGAGATTGGGATTTTTAATTCTGTAAACATAAACAATCTTTTTAAAGTTCCGGTATTACACACAAAAAAAATACCTGGAGTTGTGTTTTGTTTCTTTCACACACGTTTAAGTAATCTGATCACCTTATGATGTCATGAAGCTGTAGTTCTCAAGTTAACAGCTACATTTTTACTTTTAGTTTGGTAGAGATTGGCAATTCCAGGTCTGAAATAATCCAAATAATTCTAGTGAAGGTGTATAATTTAGTATAGAGAACAGAATATTTACATACATACATTTAACAAAATACAGTAATCAAGATAAAAACAAAACATAAACACACACACACAGGCACAAGTTTAGTTAAATAAAACAAAAGTAATGTGGTAGTACATCATAAACACACCGCTAGGCCCCCTTACATTCATATATTTTGGCCAATTTATAGTTGAAATTCCTTTTCTCTCTCTCTCTTCCTTTTTTTTTTTTTTTAAATTCCCATTTTTTAATAAACATTTTTAGTCACTGTACTTAAAGTAATATAATTTTCACCATCATCTTTTGCTATTTTTGCTGTTTTTTATTGGTGTATGGAGTTTAAAAACGCAATGGAGCACTTCCTTTGTTACCGGATGATGAGAGAAGAGCTCAGCCTAAATATGCAGGATGTGTGTGAAAGAAACAAAACATAACTCCAGGTATGAGTGTGATGAGGAAACATGATGCAATAGATCAGAAAATAGTGTAATATCTCCATCATAAATCCAAATATTGATTCTTGAGCCGACGTTATCAACATTCTTCGGTGGTGTGATGCTAACTGAAGGCACTGCTCTGTCTGAGGCTTTGTTACACTTAAACCTGAGCTTTATTTTAACACAATCTGACCGTAAAGAACTGACTTAGCTGAAAGTACAAGTCACAAACACACCGACTGTTTTAACTTATAATGGAAACCCTGCAAATGTACATGTCCGGTAATGTACACACTGGCATTTATGAGGTGTGCTTGAAGAAGTGTGTTTAATCTAATTTTAGCTTGGTCGCACGCCCAGACAGAAGAAATAGGAGCCTCTTTTGAGTTTGACTGACCCATGCACACACGCAGGCAATGCATGACTAGCTGAGAATGTTGCCCTCATTAATCCCTCATATCATATTTGGTCCAGTGCTTTAGTGAAGTTATGGTTACACAATGGCGGTAACTGCTTTGGGTTCCTATGCAAAAACAGACTGATAATAATAAGGGGGGAAAAATTACTCAAGTCAGCCTACGTGTGCTGGCTCACAATCTGCCTCCCCTCCCCTCCCTCGCTCGCCCATGCTGCACAAACAACAAGTACAAGGCAGCAGCTCCTGGGTGGGGAGAGAGAGAGAGCAGAAGGGAGGGAGGGAGGGAGGGAGGGAAGGAGAGAGGGAGCAAAAGAAAGCAAGGACTACTGTTCAGAAACAAGCAGGAAGAAGGGAGGGTGGAATAAGTGAGGGATTCTACCAAAAAGAAAAAAAAAGAAAAAAAAATAGGCATGCTCTGACCACTCCCCCTCCCTGCATACACACTCGCAGACAGAAAATGGGCGTTTGCTCTGGCCAAAACCGGCCGACCAATCGGAAACGAGGCCCCGCCCACTCCGCGAGGGCCGGGCTTGCGTGGCAGGAGGGGGAGAGTGTGAGACCCAACTTAAAGAGTGTGTCTTGCTCCCAGCCCTGACACTGTAGACTCTGAGCTTTCACAGTTGAAACCACTATTTCACCATTTCTACTCTCATGGTTGTGCAGACGCTAAGAATGAAGATACAGGAGTCTCCCGTCACCTGCGATACGGGGAGGGTCGGCGTGGGCGGAGGAGGAGGCGCCGACCCGGATTGCGAGAAGTCTGGCTGCGAGGACGTGCCCCGATTGGACCTGACAGCTCTGACCGAGGAAAACAGTTGGGGAGGTGAGGCGAGGCAGCTTCAGGCTATCACATGGCTACTTGGTTTTTGTTCATGTTTTGCACTGTGTTTCCATTTTGAGATTTGTTCAATAGAAATATTGCATCGTCACACCAACGCTGGAATATTTGCACATGGCTCTCAGCTGTCTGTTTTGATTATTTTATATATATTTTTTTTTACTGATGCAACTGGCTGTGTGCGTCTTTAATTTCAATAGATCCTCTTAACTTCTGCAGAGTCTTTAATGTGGGCGCGTGCTTGTGTACTGTCTGGCCAATTTGATACAGCTACTTCGCCAGCTTGTTGTTTTGCATCTGTTAAGTGATCCCACATGGGCCTCTCATGTGTGTTTTTGGCACTGCCCTGTGCTACAGTTCAGTAGTTATTCCAGCTCTTTTCATTTGTTTTTTCCTTTCCAAAGTTTAGTTACGAATAGAATTGACCGCTGTTGCTACTCTCAGCCAGGATCAATCATTAAATGCACGCATGATAAGCCCAGTTGCATTTTACTGACTCAGATTTTTATATGGGTCCGTCACCTGCTTGTTTCTACTGACATGTCATTGCTCTGCCTGGAATGTTCCGCAGCATGATATGAAACAGCTCTTCCTTACATTTATTCAATTACAGGTGGTTTTAGAGCTCAAAAATACCTAGAAAAACATGCATTCTGACTGCCCCTGCACAGACGGTTTGGTAAAGACAGAAAGCTTTAATACCATGCTGTGAAACATTCCAGACAAAGCAATAACACCTCCGTGGAGAAAAGCATTTGACAGACCCTCCACCAGAAAAGGCACCTCTAAGCTCTCGAATTTTCCACACCAACTTGTCGGCGAAGGATTTAACTTGTACGTGCACACGATCAAACATAATTCACTAGAGAGATGACAGTTCTCATGCGGTTTCTTATCTTCTCTCGTGAATCTTTAATGTCAGTGTGTTTGTTTATGCAAAAAAAGCAGTGCACAAAGCATCGACTACTGCGATTGTTCTATTTGGACATTGCAACATTGTGTGTCGAGGGAGGAGGATGTCCGCGTAGCATTTAATAAGTGAAATCAAATAGCTGGCTGGAATGACAACAGACAGGTTCTTTGCGATTAAAGGGCAAAGCACGTGGCGAAGTCTGTATCTAGGTGAAATATTGTCCTCTTGCTATATTCGTTTAAGCAGCGGTGAGGTGAAAGCTTCCTGTTGCGTTGGAAATATTTCATGCTGCAGAAGTTCACAGCCTCATGCTTGGGGCTGGGAGAAAAAGAGGAATTTGTGATTTATAGAGCTCTCTAGTGGCCACAGGCGATAACGCGAAAACAGAGCATGGGAAGGGCAGGCTGCACCGTGCAAACAACTTTCTAGTTTTAATCCAAGTTGTGACCTACATGCTGCAAAAATGTCATTAAATTACGCAACCAAATCTGCTATAATATGAAAAAATATGGGCAAAATATGTTGTTTTTTTAACCAAGCTGCCAGTTTTTCAGTGAAAGCTTGTGGTTTATGTGGAAATTTGACATTTTTTGTGGTAAATGGCACTGATTAAAAGCCTGTATTGTTTATGTTCAGGAAATTAATTTGGAAAACATTTGGATTTTTATTTATTTGTTGATGTAAGACACAAAATTGAAACTTGAGATTAATCAATATCAGGAAAATAATTGGATTACTGTGGTATAACAAATGGAACTGGTGGGAATGCTGAGATACTAGTCAAGTTTGTAATATTTTTAGCTCACAGTTCTTCTAGATCTATTGAACTTTAAACTTGGAATCAAGCTGCTATCTTTCCTGTTTAAAATTCTGCACAAAAAGCACATTTCTGACTCTGAAAAGCAGTACCCAAAACTATACCATCTGTATTTAGGCTATAACACATGTAGCAGTTCTAAAAAAAGAAACTAGACTAGAACACTTTGTTATTGTGTAGGCGTCTGCAGGCTCACTGTTATAGTTTCTTTTCCTCTGGTGGTTTCCTCGCTCTTGTGTCTCCTTCTCATCTCCTTCCTGTTGTACACCATGTCCCCATAACACAGATGACCTCATAGGAACCACTGCTTCGATCGACCATGACGGACTGCATTAGCATAGCACAGCAGCTTTTGCATAGCACAAGCAGGGCAGTAAACACCGAGGGGGGACAAAGGGGCTTCTTGTCCCGGGCCCCAGGGTTTTAGGGGCCCAGAATTCCCCCAAAATTTCTGTCCACGGGCCTGAGCAAGCGTAGAAATTGCTAAAATGAATCAGGAGTTTGCTTGTCTGTTACTAGGCCTGTCACGATTACAGATCCTGAAGCACCGAGCCATAAAAATAATACTGAAACTACTTTATGCCTTTGACACAGCAACAATAAAGCAGATAGTTCCTGGAAAGTATCATTAAAAGGCCTGAGCTGCAATAAATAAATAGCAAAATGAAGCAATAATTATAATATTATTACACCCAACAACAAGGGTAGGAAAGGATATGCAGAAATTGAAAAAAGCTGAATTAAAAACACTACTTAATTTGCGAGATAACTTTCAAAATGCACTACAAATACATATCTATACTACTTATTCCACCCTCTACAGCTTAAATCTTATAGTATTACAAAGAAAATAACAAAAATCTCCACATTATTGTACAGAAAAATACACTCGACACAGAAAAATATGTAGTTCCAGCTTTCATCTATAAAACAATAAGTCATTAAAGTAATTATAGTAGCTACAACAAATAAAGTATTATAATATTGAGTTACTTTTTCAACCCTCTACGACTCAAATCATATGATATTACAGCAAAAATCTCCACATTATTGCAAAGAAAAATCCACACAACAACAAATACTGAACACAAAAATGTATTGTTTCAGATTCCAGATTTCATATATTGAGCAATAAGTTAGTACAGTAATTATCAAGAGCCACAACAAATAAATAACAGAATGGATTAACAATTATTATAATATTTAATTACTTTTTCAGTCCTTTACAGCTTAAAACTTATGGTTTTACAACGAAAATAGCAAAAATATCCCCAGTATTGAAAGAAAAAGTACACACAACGAATACTGAACACAAAAATATATAGTTCCGGCTTTCATCTATAGAACGATAAGTCAATATAGTAATTTTTGAGAGCTACAACAAATAAAACAGCAGATTGAACCAATAATTATTATAATATTAAGTTACATATTCAATCCTCATATATTGAAGTCAAGTGATTATAGTGGGCATTGAGAATTATAATAATAAGTAACTTTTTTAAGCCTCTACAGCTCAAATCTTACGGTATTGCAATGAAAATAACAAAAATCTCCACATTATTGCACAGAAAAAGTACACACAGCAAATAATGAACACAAAAATATACTGTTCTAACTTTCATATATTGAAGTCAATATAGTAATTAACAAGAGCGACAACAAATAAATAGCAGAATTACAATATTAAGTTACTTCTTAGAACCTCTACAGCTCAAGTCTTATGGTATTACAATGAAAAATCGACCCGTTATTGCAAAGAAAAATACACACGATCATTATTGAACCTAAAATAATATCTCACTAGCTTTCAAGAAGTCGACGTAGTGATTATCGTGACAGGCCTATCAGTAACTGCAACCAGCACAGCAGCCCGTACTTCACTACTTACGGTATTTTTGGAAGGTGGTGGGAGTACGTGTTACTGTAGTAGAGCTTTTAAAAGACCTTTGTCCTAGTACACATTGTGCCAACACTTCGGGGGGGGTGATGTTCTCCGCTCCTCTGCCCGTGCACGGCTGCCAACTGTACAGACATTTGGAAACGACGCCAGCCTTTCTCGAGTGTCTGTCCATCAAGGGTGCCGCTTGAAGGGCCCATATTACATGACTTTATGATCTATGTTATAACGTTTCCTTGTCGTAAACGTACCTGGAGTCGCGTTTCGTTTCATTCGCACGCGCAAACTTTGCATTTTTAGGCGAAAACAGTGGGATCATTTGGATAATTTCAGCCCCGGAATTGCCAATCTCTACTGAACGAAAGGTAAAATGTAGCTGTTAAACAAACTAATGTGTGAATGAAACAAAACACAACTTCGGATTTGTTTTTAAGCAGCTTTATATCACGTCCCGAAGCTCACAAGAATCCATTTCGTGTAATATCGGACCTTTAAGCGGGCCTCACTTCTTTGTTTCTTTCTAGTAATTCAATCTGTCCTGTTGCTTTCTCTCTCCTCTCCTTAGATCCTGCCTTTATGAACTCGCCTTCTCTTGATTTCAAACGCATTTTCTATTCAAGTTGTTGCGATGGTGAGTTAGCGCGAGTGAATGCTGACACATGCATCTTTGTCAAGCTACGGAGTTCCTGTTTTTTCCCTTTTCCTTTCTTATTGTTTTCTCCCTCGCTCTGCATGGCAACGCTAACAGCAACCTTTAGTGAAATGGCAAAGAAAGAGGCATGTTTTGTTTTATTAGTCTAATCTGGAGCGACGATCGGCGAGAACTTGATTTAAAGGATTAATTTACAAATGCCAGGGAGACTTAGGTTTAGCGGTGAGCACGTAATGGGCCTTCAGGAGGAGACATAAAAGCCGGGGATCACAGGGTCCCGCACGATTCGATATGGCTCACAATATGGCGATACGTGCTATAATCGATATTTTGCTGTTTTTTTCAAGAATCGAATACATTTTAGCGACAATATTTCTTTGTTAAACCTACTTGTGCAAAGTAAAATACATCTCAACAATTCATTTCCAAAAACAGCTAAGTGTGATTTTAAAAAGTGGTCTTAGGCTTTCGGTTTTTCTCTTTTTATAGAAATATTTTTAAAAGCTAAATGTATTTTACTACTATCTAAATAATACAGGGTGTCACAAAAACTTTTGCATAATCTCGCAGGTCAGTAATTTTGGCATTTCTCGTTGAAATTACTTCAAATTTTCACAGAATGTATAGAAACGGATCAAGATTTTATATTTAATGTTTTATTTTTGTTCTGTTTTCAGGTTGAACCTTTCACTCCCAAAGAGAAGTCATTTTGCGTTTTGGAATCTGCTCGCACACAGTGACCCAAGACTGTACAGCGTGACTTCAATGCAAATTTTGGAAAAACTTCACCAATTGGCAAACAAATTTGGAATTGGTACCAAAAATTACCAGAGTTAAAAGGATTACGTACGTGTGCAAGCGTATTCCAAGACACAAAATGACTTCTCTTTGGGAGTGAACGGCATGGCTCAACCTGAAAACAGAACAAAAATACAACAATATATAATGTTTTGTTATTTTGTTCAGTACATTCTGTGAAAATTTTAGGTTATTTCAACAAGAATTTCCAAAATCATGGCCTGTGAAATGATGTCAAATTTTGATCAAGCAGCTTTGATAAAATCCACTCTATATTATTGCCATTGATAATATCTGTAGAACATGGCAACAAAAAAACAAACAAAACAGAGATATATGTTTTTGATTTTAATCCTCAAAACAGTGAATATATGATTTATACTGTTATTTCTATGCATGGTCGAAATAAACAAACAAACAAAAGCCAAGTGTATTACATAAACAAGCTTCCTTCCACTAAATAAGCAACAAAATCGTCATGTGGTCACTAAAAAAATCCTAAAAAATGCCAAAAAATAACACTCCTGGCGGTATATATCGAAACTGCAGCCCGCGATATCGATACTGTACCTTCGAATGTAGTATCGCCACATATAGATTTTTCGATATCTTTGTGTTCTCACCTGCACAGTGAGAAAGCGCACGTAGCTGAAAGTATAAGAGGGGACTAACCAGAGCTGGAATCTGAGCTAAGTCGCTTCCCGTACAGACCCCGCGCTCCCCGCCGCTAACACAAATACGCACTGGGCACCATTTAGACTGGCTGCGTATTTTCACAACATCTCAACTGTTTACTTGGAATATCTCGTTCTGGGGTTTGTTTTGCATTCGGGGTTCACCTTGTAGCGTCTCCCAGTGTGGAGTTACCAGCGCTAATTTTCCATGAAACCTACCAGACAGCTCACACCAAGCCGCCAAAGCCACATGTGCGGTTGTTTTCTCAAAGATTCCCCCCCCCTCCCTCCGTCGTAACCCTGAGCTGCTCCACGACCGGCCTCTCCGTTCGTATCCTTGAAAAGCTGGATATGTCTGTGAAATTACTGTAACATCTTTCGCAAGGGTCGTAGCCTCACATTATCCAACTTTATTAATAGCTAGGGACCGTCAAGGGTATCTGTGGAGCTATTTTAACTAAACATAATTATTACCAGACTACCAAGAGAGAGACTTCGAGAACAAAATGTGCAAGCGCAAAGGCCCAAAGGAAGTACTGTTTCCCCATTTGTATTTATGACTTCCAAGAGTTAGTTTGCTTTTTCACTTAAATCATTTGTTTTTGCTTTTATAGGGCCAATATTATGTGATTTTATAATATTTCCTCTTCAAAAACATGCCAAGAGTTGTGTATTGTTTCATTCACACATCCATAACGCACAAATCCCGCATATTTAGGCTGTTTTCTCTCAAAAAGTGTCACTCAAACATGTGTGAATGAAACAAAACACAACTCCAGGTAGATTTTTGATGAGATAACAGCATTACAACACGCCTTAAAACTCATAAAAGTCAGTTTGTGTAATACAGGACCTTTAATTTAGCCTAGATATTTAACACGCGATGACGAATATCCATTTAAAAAGTCTTGTAATTTTTCAACGTCAAATTCCAAATGCAAACGTTCGTGTCCCAGATCCAAACCCAGATACATGTCGAGGCAAAATGTAGGCCAAATGAAAATGCCACTTGCCACACCCAATAAGAGTTATGCAATAGTGACCCAGTAATTGGAAAATCTGAACTGGAAGCACGTTACTTAATTTGCATGTTAATGGATAACTTGGCTTGCATTAAATTCGTTCTTCTTGTTGCTAATTTACTCGCTTGCACACTAGCTTGGTGGAGGAACTGAACATTAACTCAACTTTTTTGCTACTAAACTGCGTGAGATATATTTGTATTACGATATTTTTCTACATTTATTTTTATTTTACATTACACATTACTTGATACATTTTTATAATTAGTCAAATAAGTCTAAATATGGTGTTTTAATAGCATTATCTACAGTTCTTTGTCATATTTTTGAGCAGTTTTAGCTCAAACTAGGTAAATTTGCAGCGTTGTGTTCAGTCTGTGCTGCCTTCAATGGCCTCAAGTACTACATGACATCACATATGACTGCCCTGATTACAGCTAGGAGTTTCTGATACCTGTTAGTCCAATCACACTGTTCCTTTTACCCCCAGATGCCGCCCCTTCTCCTTTTTAGTCCTCCAGGTATTCCCCAGTTTAATAACTCTGTTTGAAATGTGTTTGTGGGCAGAGATTCTGTGTTTTTAGTCCCGTTTTAAAGCAGATCGTGGTTTGTGGGTTTTTTTCCCAGAGCCCGTCCCAGCCTACCCCCTTCTGCAGAGAGAGAGCATGGACAGAGAGGAGGCCCGGCTGTCCCCTCGCGACGGCGGGCGGCTCATTCGACAGCTGCTGGACGAGGACAGCGACCCCATGGTGTCCCCCCGATTCTACGCCTACGGGCACGGGCAGCAGTACTTAGAAGATACGGAAGTGCCCCCATCTCCGCCCAACGCACACTCATTCGTCAGGTAAACAGAAAGTAATTCAGTAAGTTTAAAAGAAGGCGTATTGTGCTTGTGTCTGCTGTAAAGTTATAATCTATGACATCCATAGACCATTATGTCATAATTCGGACATTTTAAATCGCAATATGGTTCTAAAACGATGAAATTAAAGTTAGGGGAGTGAGTTATGTATAGCTGCTCATCACACTGGCTATTTTTTTTCATTTGTACCACAATAACTACGCAGCGCTGCCAGATCTCATGTGTATTACCGATTTAAAATTTAACTGGAGAATAAATGTAAGAACAGAGAAGTGCACGTGTACCGGTGGATTGGAGCAAAACAGGAGTAACTAGATTACTCAAACATGCAAGAATCACTCCAAATACAACTTCAGGAGGGTAAATGAGAAGAGGAAACAATTATAACATGGTTAAAAGCTCTAAAAATTTTGATTTTGTGTAATAGTTTTGCTTTAAATTGTAGTTTAACGCGTGAAATTTGTCCCTTTTAGTCGGAGGCGGAGTTCGTCTCTTGGCTCCTGCGACGATGAGAAGGAGGAGCTGACTTCGGCTCAGCTCACGAAGAGGATTCACGTCCTGAAGAAAAAGATCCACAGATTCGAGGAGAAGTTTGAAGAGGAGAGAAAGTACAGGGTAGGTCTGGGCAAGCGCCATGTTGTCTTAAAGGTGCACTACGTAACTTTTTGGTTTAACGTCACCTGCATGTTTTTATGGATATGCCATTGCCTGGAATGTTCCACGGTGTGACATTAAACAGCTCTACTTTACATTTATTCAATTAGAGGTGGTTTTAGAGCTCAAAAATACTTAGAAAAACAACAAGACATTCTACTGTTTGGTCTCCATGAGGATAAAAACTGTAAAACCATATTATGAAACATTCCAGACAAAGCAATAACAGCTCCGTGGAGAAAACATCTGACAGCCCCACCACCAGAAAAGTTACACAATGCACCTTTAAATGTCATTTTGTACCGCCACTTGACCCGCCTGAAGGGCAAAAGAACAGACAAACCATTAAGACGTCAGGCTGAGCTGTTCCATACGAGGAAACAGACTGGGGTTTGTCGGTGTTGGTTGAGTTTCAAGGAGCAAGAAAGTGGCTCTTATATAACACACAACAAATCTAAAATTTAGGACAGGAAAAAAACAGATACTAAAAATAAGTAGTTGAAAGTAATTGGCTAAGTGGCTTTTTTATAACGCACGATAAATAATTTTTAGAGCAGGAAAAAACAGGGCTGAGTCGCATTGCCAGATTAAAATAAATATTTACTTTAGCGTACAGTTAAAGCGTCTGTCGTCTGCTTGTCTCCATGGAGATGTGCCTAAAATGTTCCGCAGTATCTCCACGGAGACTCGCGAGCCAAATTACAGGTTAGATTTGTGGAGAGGCAACCCCACTGACATTAAGAATGGATGTTTTTTAAGATTTTTTGCGCGATAAATAGCACCTGTAGTCGAATAATTATTAGTATTAGTTTAATACGTCTCCATGTTGCGGACCCTCTCCAGAAAAGTTACGCAGTGCAGCTTTAAATTGGAGGAGTTCTAAGTCTGTGCTTGTAAGAACAGGTCTAGCTATTGTGATTTTATTTAGTATTTAATTTAGAAAGTAACCCTTTGTTTGGTTTTCTTCCTGCAGCCTTCGCACAGTGACAAAGCTGCAAACCCAGAAGTCCTCAGATGGGTCACGGAACTGTCCAAACTACGCAAAATGCTGAAAGGTAAAAATACGTTCTCTCAGTCGTATATAATTTACTTTGCAGTGACATCATGCCGGGGGTGTGTATCTCAAATGGTGCAATGTTTTGGAATTACCATGGTGACCTAATGTACACAGTAGAAAACACAGACCAAAAAAGGTTTAAGATGGTCTGAAAACTCAAGAAAAAAATGCAAAACGGATTTAAACAAAACATTTTTAGGAACCTGTGACCAATACGAGCGTTCACGGTTCTGTTTAGGAGTTTGATACTCAGCAAAAAGGTGAGAATGACTGTGATTTTATGTGTGAGAAACGTGTTTAAATGCACAAATCAGCTCACCTGTTGTAGCTTTATGGTCAGATTTTGTTCAGATAAAGCACAAATTAAGCTGCAAACGTCCCTGCTTACCCGGGGCAGTCCAAGTTTTGAGCCCTGTGTCCCCTGTCCCAGTGAATTTATCCAAAACCATTGATTTGTCCCAATTTTATACAAGAAATGTCCCTATTTTTGACCAATCTGATCCCTGCCGACAGTAAAGAGAGGCATACATTGTCATTTCTTGAGTTAAAATATTCAGGATGTAACAATATCCAAACTCTTCTGTACGATATTTTCACTATATGCATGTCATCATTGTGAATATACAACTTTTTTCTTTAAAAATGTCTTGACAAGCCTTTGGTTCTGTCACAAACCAAAGAGTTAAGATCTGAAAGTGCTTGATAAGTCATTTAATTGGACTGAAACAGAGCAAAGGATCATGGTCTATGTAGTTCCCTCCTTTCTTTTAGCTGTTTTAGCTGCACCAAAACAATGAATTTAAGCAAAGAGAAAGTAATTCGATATATTGTGACGGCCCACGATGTTATTGAGAGACTGATACGATATCACGATATTTTGATTTCGGTTTGTTTCGATTTCGGTTATTGTTATATCCCTATAGAATACAAAAAAGCTGCTTAAAAATGACAAAAACCCAAAGAAAATGTGACTATACAGACTCACATTAGTGCCTTAATTACGCACTTGTTTCATAATTTTATTATTACCAACCATCACAAACCAGGGACGTCCCAGTTTTTTATTTTGAAAATCTGGTCACCTTTTGCAAACTATCAGTATCTCACCTTACTCCTTTACCACCAGAACACAGAATACTGAAGTCAGAGGAGGACCTGCCACCCCTGACCCGCCAGCGCAGCAACACTCTGCCCAAAAGCTTCGGCTCCCAGCTGGAGAAGAAGCCCGAGCCGCAGAAGGTCCCCAAGCCGCCGGTGGACATCACGCTGGAGAGCATCCAGAAGAAACTGCAAGAGAAGAGGAACGAAGTCAACCGGCCCGAAGACATCAAGGTACGTTTTGCGGAGGAGAATCTACGTGTATGTGTACGGCAGGATGTTCAGCGGTTTCCACGGCGATGTAACGCAACGCAGCCCGATAAGCTTTTAGAATACTGAATACTCTAGAGAAAATACAAAATGGATTTAAAGAGGAGACTGATCGATACAAGCGTTTTTGGTCGAGTTTAGGTGTTTGATTTTCAACAAAAAGGTGAGAGTGACTACCGTATTTTCCGGGCTATTAGACGCGCTCTTAAGCCTCCAACCCCATCAAAAAACGACTGCGCGCCCCACAATCCAGAGCACCCTACACACGAATCCACTCGGGTGTCCCAGCACGACTTCAGTAAACTACAAAGCCGCAGCGCACGCAAACACACACGGAGCAGAGAGCGACCGCGCAGCGAAAAACACCCACAGACACACTCATCACTCCACCCCGATGAGGAACGGAACGGAGGAACGAACCGTAAAAGCGAGTGCAATGTGCCACTTCTAGACACAACTGAACAACTGAGTCACTGTGAACACGCCGACAATCCAGCGGTCCCAGACAGCACCCTCCCTACACGCCACAACTGAACAAAGCCCAGAGTCACCGAGAACGCACCAAACAAAATCCGACTGACCCATCCAACTGTTGTGTTTCGTTTAAAGTCCTGTGCGGTTTATTTGTGAAAAAAGCTCAAAAATACACCATTTAATGACAGTGAGCCTTATAATCCAGAGCGCCTAATAGCCCGGAACATACGGTAACTAACCCTAAACTAAAACTGCTGACTAATTGTACACGAGAGGGACTTGTTTAACAGCACAAATCGGCTCACCTGTTGTAGTTTTTCCAATTCAGTCTGTTTTTTCTGGTCAGATTGGGTAAAACAAAGCTCAGATTAAAGTCTAATTTAAGAGCTTCAGACAGAGCAGTGCCTCCAAGTTAAGGGAGTGTTGATGATAATAGTCTGAAATGTGCGGAGAAAGAATACAAACTCAATTACTTCCTATTTTTTTGTACAGGACATGACTCGGGAGCAGATAGCGGCGGAAAAAGTGGCTCTTCAAAAAGCTCTCCTGCACTACGAGAACATCCACGGGCGACCGGTGAGTCCCGCGACCTTCACTCGTTTGGCAGCGGCTCAACATATCAGTCCGTTTATGTTGGCCTCCCAAAAAATGTTGTTTACCGCTGCAATGTGACCTAGATCGCAAGCCAGGGATGCCTAATGCTTCCAGAGTGGGTATGTGTTTGTGTGAATAATTAACGAAGCTGAGGGCATGTTAGAGCCACACTGTGCAACTTTTATTTATAACTTTAGAACTTTTAGAACTTAATTTCCAAAAACTAAAAGTATGTTGTTGTTTTTTTAAATTTTGGTTGTGTTTATTTGACAGAAAAACATACAAAAACATATTTCCGTGTTATAGTCAAGCTTTCATCTCCACAAACTTGACTCTTATGTGGCCTGGAGGAGAGTTTCTTCTTGTTTTGGGCACTTATTTCCATAAAAATGTTGTGCTTTTGGCTGTAATTTTCCACAGTATTCATGGGTTTCGAGCTATGGCAACTGTTCTTAGTCTTAAATAAAAAATATGTGTTTTTGAATGGAGAAATGTCCTCACAAAGAGCTTCAAATCAGGAGGGAATTGTCTGTCTGAAACTTACAAATAGCATAAAACGCAGCTGGGGATTGTTCTGAAGTAGGTTTTAACTTTCAATTTCTGCTGATGTGGCACGTCCCAGAAAGTTCCTCACTCTGCCTTTAAGCTGAAGTTAGAAATAGGTACGAAAAACACGAGCTTAAAAATGTACTTTGGTAGCAGATGCTTTTTGTACAAGCACCACACTGAATGGGGGCGGATATTTTGGGAGTCCCTGCTGCTGCCGCTGTCACATCCAGCGCTTCGCTTTGTTCGGTGACCTTCACGCTCTAAAGGCTGCGGCTGAACACTGCAGCAACTTTTCTGGGTTAGCGCTCAGCGTGTTTTAAAGCAGACCTATTGTGCAAAATCGATTTTTAGAGCTTTTTACCGTGTTATAGTTGTTTCCACTCACTGTTTACCCTCTCGGGAGTTGTATTTGGAGAGATTTGTGCGTGTTTGAGAAATCTTTAATCATTTATTTTCTAGATATTGCCGTTTTCACCACCCACTGCTCTCTATTTCGTTCTTCAATTTTATTTTCTTAATTTGGTACAAGTGTAGGGTGAACAGATTTTCAAACTTTAGAAGTTGCCGATACGATACAGACCTCGATACAGTGCACTTTCGATTCGATTACGATATATTTCAAATCGATTCGACAGGGTACAATAAAAAGTAAAGGCTAAATCATGGCCGGTGATACTAAAAGTCTTTGTTAAACCAATTTCTTGTGCAAAGTTCATATGAAACACAAACATTTCAATAATGAAAAAAGTGAAATTGTCAAATGTGTTGCACAAACGAGTTTCCTTCCTCTTAACAAGCAACAAAACTGTAGCTCTGCAACAAACTAATTTAATAAAATATACCAAAAAATACTCTTGGTGATATATCGATACAGCAGCCCAAGATACTGATACTGTATCATCACATTAAACGATACGATATATTGATATTTTGATATTTTTGCACACCCCTACCCTCGGGTCAGTCGTGGTTGGTAATAATAAAATAGTGAAGCAAGTCTCTACTTCTTTCTGCTCCTTTTCATTCACACTGATGTAAGAAGCATAATTATTTTGTGTTCATCTTTTATGAATGAAACAAATTGAAACATAAAAACTAAACGAGTGCGTAATTAAAGAAAATTGTTCTACACTTGGCCCATTCATGACTTATTCACGACAACATGTGAGTCAGTATAGTCACATTTTCTTTGTGTTTTCCATAGTTTTACTTAAACAAAACTGAAAACAAAATAACCTAGACAATTTATGCCTTTCTTTACTGTTGGCAGGGATCAAACTGTGCAAAAATAGAGACATTTCTTGTATAAAACTGTGGCAAATCACTGGTTTTGGATAAATCTGCTTGGACAGGGGACACAGGGCTCTAAACTGGGACTGTCCCGGGTAAATGGGGACGTCTGGTCACTCTGTACAAGTGAAAAAAGATCTTCTGCTCGCTAACTTGATCTGAAGCTATCCAGAGGTGCAAAGCCTTTTGTTGTGACGACGTTTACAGCAACGCCGGCTCCCACTGGCCACTACACTTTTCTAACGCGGAAATCAGCAGACGTGGTTCTTTTATTAAGTTGAGTTCAGATTAATTTAAAATGTAAATAAAACTACATTCATCACTGATTATGAACGCTGAGCTCACAGATGTTCGTCTTTGGTTTTTTTTTTGCTTTTTTCAGGTGACCAAAAACGAGAGGCAGATCATGAAGCCGCTGTACGACAGATATCGTTTGGTGAAGCAGATTCTGTGCAGAGCCTCCACAATCCCAGTCATCGTGAGTTTATTATTTTTATTTTATTTTATTGTCCAAGAGTCATAGCGACCAACTTCTCCACTATCATATTGTTTCTTTATTTTCCATTTGGTTTATAGTCTAGTATTAAAAGCAACTAAGACATAACAAAACTTAATAACAATTTAAATTATTTAGATTATTATTATGGAAGTCTGTTGTCAGAAATAAAATGTTTTGTGTATAGATACTTTGTAGTGACAACACGCTGGCGGTGTTCTACATGTATCTCTCTGGTGGAATGTTCAGCAGTTACCACGGAGACACAGTGCACACATTCACAAACGAATCCCAATCTGAATCCGCTTTATTTCAACAGCACATTTTACAAACAAAGCAGTTTCCAAAGTGCTGCACAGAGATCGTAAAATGACGACAACGAAAAGGTAAACTGCTAAAATTTGATGATAAAAACAGTAAAATCAAGCAAAAGCAAAACCATAAAATAGCAGTAAATAAGTAAAATAAATAAAAGACGCAGAGGGAGTTGGCTTAAAAACTTACAAACTTTTAAGATCGTCTGAAAAGTCAAGAAAAAAAAAGACAAAATGGATTTTAAAAACACATTTTCAAGAGCCTGGGATGAAAACGAGCGTTCGTGGTCCTGTTTAAGTGTTTGATTTTCAACAAAAATTAGCAGAAAAACTGTTGTGGCTGTAATTTTATGTAATTTTTGTTGTAGTCCCAGATAAATTAGTTCTTTCTGGTCAGATTGTGTTAAAATAAAACTCAGATTAAAGTCTAACAACGCCTCAGACGGAGCAGTGCCTACAGTCAGCGTCATACCCCCTGGAAATGTTGTACCAGCGCAGTAGTTTTCACATAAAACAGGAAGTAGGAGATTACACACTTACATTAATTACATTTAATAACCATTTTATTATGTAAGAGTGGATTATGGATTGACAGCGTTGCCTGTAGATTACATAATGCACTTCTACGTCGTGTAAAGTGACGGACGCAGTAATGGGGTCGCGTTCAATAACTGTGAGTCTTAATGATTTTCTATACGGCTTTGACTCCATTTTAGTAATAAACGACCAGGCAGAAGGCAGCAAGTTCACTCATTGATACTTTGCAGCCGATGTCGTCAACGTCAGCGCAGTGGTGTGACGCAAACTGGAGGGCACCGCTCTGTCTGAAGCTCTGTTACTCGAGTCAGACGGATCTTTTTTAACACAATTTGACCAGAAAGAACTAACTTAGCTGGAACTACAACATGTGAGATGATTTGTGCTGCTAAACAAGTCCTGCTCAGTCCCAGTTTTGAGCTTGTTTGCAAGAATCCCAGAAGTTGTAGACCGCGCACCAGATATTAAGAGAAGAGCTGTGAAGCCATGACGTCAAACTCAAGCACCTGTCTGGGTCCCTTTTGTGGAGCAGCACAACAGTAAACAAAGCATCGAGATGGATGTAGACGAAGACATATATTCTGTGTTGGCAACAATTCCCAAGATCGAGGATTTAAAGCCAGAACAAAGAGAACGTTTGGTGAATTTTATCAAGGGGAAAGACGCTATTGCCCTTCTTCCTACGGGATTTGGCGCATTACATATGTCACGACCAAATAGCAGCGATTGGTTTAAAAAAAATATTACCCGCCTACCGTCGAATCCTAATGCTGCGAGGTCAGACGGTTTCCACAAAGTGAAACCAGCTGGTGAATCAGGCTACCCCGTCCCAGCAGATTTATCCAAAACCATTGATTTGTCCCAGTTTTATTCAAGAAATGTCCCAGAACTCCCTATTTTTGACCAATCTGATCTCTGCCGACTGTAAAGAGAGGCATAAATTGTCATTTGTTTCAGTAAAATACAGAAAAGCTGCATAAAAATGCCCAAAACACAAAGAAAATGCGACTTCACTGACTCAAATGTTAGTCATGAAAGGTCTCTGCGAAAAATTTTCCTTAATTTCACACTCTTTTCACAATTTTATTATTACCAACCACCCTAAACCGGGGGTGTCCCAGTGTTTTATTTTGAAAATCTGGCCACCCTTTGCTCAGATAACATCACAGTCACAAGATGGCCAGCATTAGCCAACAGTTTTCAAGTTTTTTTGTTGAAAATCAAACTGCTGTTTAAATCCATTTTGTACTTTTCCTTGAGTTTTCCTTGAATCTTAAAACTTTTTTGTTAGCGTTTGCTGATGTGTGCGCTGTGCCACCATGGTAACTGCTGAACATTCCACCGTAAACACACATACACGTACGGTACACCCCCAGCTTGGACTAGGCTTTGATTGAAACGCTACAGTGAGTTTTCTTGAACGCCTGTCAGTGAGGAACGTTAGAAGAGTAAAATGTTTGTCTCCTCCTTTTTGACTGACCGCTACAGGGTTCTCCCTCCAGCAAACGCAGAGGCCCACTGCTTCAGCCCATTATCGAGGGCGAAACCGCGCTCTTCTTCGATGATATAAAGGTGAAGAGCCACTGCTGCTGGTGCTCTTTCAGCTGTAGTGAATATAGGCCTGTCACGATAATCACAAGAAAAAAACTGAACTATATTTTTTGTTGATCAATATTTATCGTGCGCTTTTTGTTAGTTTTTTGGCCATATGAAAAGATTTAAAGGTCATTGCTTTGTCTGGAATGTTTCACAGTGTGGCTTTAAACCTTTCTTTTGAGCTCTAAAACCACCTGTAATTGAATAAATGTAAAGTAGAGCCGCTTAATGTCACACTGTGGAACATTTCAAGCCGAGCAATGATATCTCCATAGAAAAACGAGCAGCAAGCAATGCACTTTTAAGCTGTAAAAGTTTGAATTAATAACTACTATAACTACATTTTGCTGTTTATTTATTACAGCTCATGCGTTTTTTTAACAATATTCTACATTTTGAACAGTTTTTGTGGTTTAAATTTGTTTTTGGGTTATAAATTAGTTTTAATATTACAATTTATCATCTATATTTACTTCAAAATCTGTTATCGTGACAGGCCTCGTGAATCGGTGACTTGCCAAACGCCTCCCCTCGTTTTTACAGCTCAGAGACCCTCGGCTGAACCTGATTGCCGCTTGCTGATTTGGTTGTCTGGGATCGCAGCCTTGTTTTAACCTCAATTTGAACAAAGTAGAATCAGTAGCTGCCTGGTGTCTCCTGTGACGTCTGATCTGTGATTTGGACGAGCCTGTTTAGTGGTGTTTATAACAAACTATACAAATGGTGCTAGATTCATTTAGACTGGCCATACGTCTGCTTTTGTTCACTTCCTGGTAAACAATATTGAATGAGTCTGGTCTCTTTAAACCCGATTACTTTGGTTAATCTGGTTTAAAGTCTTTGGTTTTAAAATTGAAGAGGCAGTAGCAGTATGCCCAGAGTAAATCTACCTCAGAAATACATGTTAGCCATCTTACTTACTGAAAATTTCATAGTCAAAATTTATTACTTGAAAAAGAAAGATGAAAAAATAGGACTGTTGCCATGTAGATTATCTATTTAAAACAAAATATTGTATTTTTGAATGGGGGGAAATGTCTGACTGATGATTTGATACAGAACGATAAAAAAATTGGACATTTAAAACAAAACATTATATCTTGAATGGGGAAAAAGTCTGATGATTCATTCTATTAAAAAAAAAAATAGGACTGTTGCCATAGAAATTAACTATAAAAAAATATATATCATATTTTTGAGATATATAAAAAAGTTTTACTAATGATTTGATACAGAAAAAGAAAAAAAATAGGAGATAAAATGGAGATTATCAATTTAAAACAAAATAGTATATCTTTTGAATCAGGGAAAAAGTCTGATTGATGATTTGATAAAGAAAGATGAAAAAATTAGGACTGTTGCCAAGGAGATTAACTATTTAAAACAAAATATCATATTTTATAGATACATATATATAAAAAAGTCTTATTGATGATTTGACACAGAAGAAAGATAATCTTCATGGCAACAGTCCTATTATTTTTTTTTTTTTTTCATTTATTTAAAACTAAATATTGTATTTTTGAATGAGAAGAAAAGTCTGGCTGATGATTTGATACAGAAAGATTAAAAATGTTAGGACCGTTGCCATGGAAATTAACTATTTAATACAAAATATTAAATCTTTTCAATGGGGAAAAAATCGGATTGATGATTTGACACAGAAAATTTTTAATAAATTAGGAGTAGGACTATTTAAAACAAAAAAATTTTGAATGTGGAAAAAGCCTGACTGATCATTTGATAAAGGCAGATTAAAAAAAAAAAAATAATGCGATTGTTGCCATGGAAATTGACTATTTAAAACAAAATATTGTATTTTTGAATGTGGAAAAAGTCTGACTGATCATTTGATAAAGGCAGATTTAAAAAAAAAAAAAAAAAAAATTTGATTGTTGCCATGGAGATTAACTATTTAAAACAAAGTATTACATCTTTTGAATGGGAAAAGTTCTTCCAAAGATTTACGTGTTTTAAGTGTTAAGGACGAATTCCAGTTTCACTTTATAAAAATATGAAGGAAGTCTGAATGGCCAGTCTAAAAAGAAATGTTTTTATAATAATTTGTCATAACTTTTAATTTTGAATCTGCTAACCCGTCTGAAAAACCAGTAGACGTAGCTGCTCAATGAATCAACTGCATTTTCATCAACGGTAATTAATAACCGACCAACTAACCTCGCATGTTTGGGATCTGAGACCATCTGAGCGAACGCCGTTTCCACGTCCGTCCCTCTGTCACTCGCACACACACACAGACTCACCGCGGGGTTTCTTCACGCTCTTTGCTTCCAGGAGGAGGAGGACGGCTCTGAGGACGACTCGGACGCCAAGACGCAGGTTACCATGACGATCAAGCCCGACCTGACCGTGCTGGGTTTGATGGACCACCTGGACGAGGAGGGCGACGGGTTCATTTCGCCCGTGGACGACCTCTCGCCGTCGAAGAACTCGGCGGACATGGGGCTGTCCAACCTCCACTCTGCCACTATGTAAGTTTTAATGAAAATCTAAGTCTGTATTTCTGTTTATCATTTAGACTTGACCAGAATTTGAAATAGACCAGGACAAAACCAAGTCAGGGTCTAAATCAGGACTAATCCAGGACCAAACTACTGCGCTGAACTAATGCATTTATTCAATTATAGATGTTTTTATTGCTACAAAAACTTGAATTCTTACCATGACATCTGATTTGTAACTTAACCAGCGATGTCACCCACTTGTCTCCATGGGGATAGATGGGTTTAATGCCCTACAGTGGAACATTCCAAATAACAGGGTCCCCACGGTCATGGAAATCCTGGAAAACTCATTGAATTTTAGTATCTCTTTCACGCTACTACAACATTCTTTTAATCATAATGTCCTAATGTTTAAAAGCCTTTTGTTTAAAAGAGACGACAATAAATGCACTGACAGGATTTTGAATGTTAAAAAAACTATAAAACCAAACCATAACATGCGTGTAAAGGGTTAACATTTCATATTTAGCCCAGTTCTACACATGGAAAATTCACTTCAGGTCATGAAAAAGTCATGGAAATGTTTTGAAATATTGTCAGTGAAAAAGAGTGGGAACCCTGAGATAATCCAATAACATATCAATTAGGGCTGGGGATCATTAAGATGCTGCTGATACGACAGATTCCTCGACACAGTGCACTTTCACTTTGATATATTTCAAATCAATCTGATACGGTTCAATAAAAAATAAAGGCTAAATCATGACTGTGACAATAAAAGTCTTTGTTAAACCACTTCTTCTTGTGCAAAGTTCATATGAAACACAAACATTTTAATCATCAAAACAGTGAAAATGTCAAAGTGTGTCGCATAAACAAGTTTCCTTCCACTAAATAAGCACCAAAACTGTGGCTCCGTAACAAAATAATTTAGTAAAATATACCAAAAAATACTCGACGATATATCCATACAGCAGCCCACGATATCGATACTGTATCATCACATTAAACGATACGATATGTTGATATATTATTTTTAGCACACACCTAATATCAGTGGAGACAAGACGCAGAAGCAGGTGGTGGCCTTTAAATACAAAGTATGAACCACTGACATCACACTGGAGGGGGTCTGCATGTATGTCTATGGCTGAAGTTAGCAGTTATTATGGTCAAGTCAGTTCTTCATAGTCGGGATTGTGTAAGAACAAAGCTCAGGTGAAAGTCTTAAGTGAAGTAACAGAGCTTCAGACAGAGCAGTGCCTCCAGTTAGCGCGGCCAAAACAAAACACTTATTGTGACCTTCTTGTTTTTTTTTTTCCACAGTGAGGAACTTGTGGAGCAGCTTCAAGAGACTCGCGAGGAGAAAAAACGAATCCGCAAGAACCTCAAAGACTTCGAGGACCAGTTTTTCAGACAAAACGGAAGGTAGGACGAAGATCTCGCTCACGATATCTATATAACTTTTCTGCTGGAGGGTCCATTAAATTCTGGTCTCCATGGAGATGTTATTGCGTCGTCTGGAAAGTTTCGTAGTATGGCTTTAAACCTTTCTATCAACATGGAGACCAAAGTAGACCAAGTTACAGAGTTCAGGTCTCAGGCAGTGGAAAAAACTTCACTTAGACATTAAAAATAAAAATAAAAATGAAATGTTTTATTTTAAAGGACTTTTAATGCAGTCGGAGTGCCTCAGACCAAGTTACAAGTTAGATCTGCGGAGAGGCGACCCCGCTCACAGTCAGAATTCACGCTTTTCTATCGATTTTTGAGCTATAAAACCACCTGTAATTGAATAAATGTAAATAAATCCAGGCGACGGACCCTCAACCTTAAAGTTGCACCTTCAAATCTGCTTTTTCCTTCTCCTTTTTTCCTGGTCCAGCTCATGTTATGTCATTTCCTTGGTCTTGCAGGAATGTTCAGAAGGAAGACCGCTCCCCTCTGGCAGTGGAATACAACGAATACAAACACATCAAGGCCAAACTCCGGCTGCTGGAGGTCCTCATCAGCAAAAGAGACGCCGCCAAGGTCATATGAGAAGCAAAACTACCGAGAGACTGTCGAGTAAAGACTGTTACATTTCATAACTCTGGGGTGCGGCTGAAGGAAAAACAAAAACACAAAACGGCTACCGACCTTCCTCCACTCACTGCCGCTTCAAGGCCATTTCAGAAAACGCGAGACACGCACAAGCAAAAGAATCACATTTCTACTACTAACGCTAATTTATTCTTGCAATGTTTTTTGTAATAGAACAAATGTTATGTTCTCACGATCGAGTCTTAAAGAAAAGAGATTATGAATGTTGTGTATTTTTCTAAGGGAGATCGCCATCGCCATTTTTTATGAATCAGTATTCGTAAATTTGCTGTCTGTAGTAGAACACTTTTACACTGTTTTCGAATCACGCTTTCGACGCAACCCAAAGACACGAGAACCAAAATGATCCGGTACTGAATATTTGTGTATTTTTGTGTATTATTTCCCTTAAAGGTGCGCCGTGTAACTTTACTGCTGGAGAGTGCGCTACCTGCTTGTTTTCATGAAGGAATATTCCACAGTGTTGCATTAATTGATTCTCAAAAACTCAAAAATACCATAAAAAACATTAATTCTTATTGTAATTGGGGTTTGCCGTTATTAGTTTAATGCCGTACTGCGGGACATTTCAAACGACGCAATAACATTTCCATGGAGACAAGCAGGTGACGGACCCTCCACCAGAAAAGTTCCAGAGTGCGTCTTTAAATAAGCTAAAGCCTGTTATAATCACTGGAGTAACGCGCCCGCCTCTCCGTCTGTATCTTTGTAAATATAGATTTCTGTGTTTGTTTACATTTCTGTGAGCAAGTACAATTTTATTTTCTCCAAAATGGATGATTCATCAGTGTAAATTTCTCGATGTTAACACTGGCAGACTTAAATCTTTTGAGTGTGTACATTTTAGTACATAACGTGTATAAATTGTATTTTGTATATAACACAAATGAAATCATATTTTTACTGACCTGACTCATGTGGTCTGTGTCCATTTTTGGAAATAGTGATTTTTTTTTTCTACCTCAAATGTGTTGTACAAAAATTAAACTCGATACTCAATACTAGAGGTGTAACAATAACCAAAATATTGTGATATTGGATCGTCAAAGTTCTCACAATAATATCATGGACCATCTTAATATATCGAATCACAAGTTTCTTTGCTTAATTTAAGAGTTATGGTGCAGCAATAGTTAAACAAAAGACAGAGGGAACTACATAGACCATGATCCTTTGCTCCATTTCAGTGTAGACCAGTGGTGTCAAACATACCGATGACCCTCCAAGACCTTTAATCTGCCCCTCGGCTGATTTTCTACTAAAATATTTTAATTATATTTTAAAACCTGAAGACAGAATTTGCAATTTTTCACACACCGTTCACAGTCAAAACCTGATGTGCCCACAGACATGCAACTACAAATAATAGATTTACAGTTTTTACCTTTGTGAGCAGGTTTTCTCAATAATGAACATTAATAAAACAAAGCTCAACACACAAACACTTGAATGACATTCTGAAGGCAGCAGCTACTCAGGACATGGTGCCTGATTTTGACGCACTTGTACAGGCTAAAAGATGCCAAGTTCCAGGAGCAAAAAGAAAAACATGACTAAATTCTATGAAATACATACAGGTTAATGTTAAAACACTGTGTTGAAATTGCATGTTTCTTAAAGTTTCAGGTTGTTCATAATATTATATTTTGTAAAAGAAAGAGTTCATCAGTTAAAGATTTCTGTAATAGATTTGCGTTTCTCTTTACAAATATTTGAAGTTATGGCATATATACTCCAAAAATTGCAATGAGTTTTCTGATCCGGCCCCTTTGGGATCAAAGTAGGTTGGATACGGCCCCCGGACCAAAATGAGTTTGACATCCCTGGTGTAGACTACAAGAACAGTTCTAAGCACTTTTAAGTCTTAGTTCTTTGGATTAAGTCTTGTCAAGGCATTTTAAGAGGAAAAAGGAGCATATTAACCTCCACAAAATATCAAAATAAATATCGTACCGTGAGATTTGGATATCGTTACATCCCTACTACTGCATATATCCTGTGTGGTCCTTCCTAGTCCTGGTTTAACCCTAGTTTAGACCTAAAATAGTCCTTTTTTAGACCTGGTTTAGATCTGGTGGTACTGTATTTAAAGGTGCACTGTGTAACCTTTCTGCTTCCCTCCATGGAGATGCTGCCTGTAATGTTCCACAGTATGGCATTACACTTATTTAACTGTATGGAGACAACAGGTGACGCCACAGAGCCAAGTTATAAGCCAGATCTGTGGAGAGGCGAGCGCACTCACAGAAAAGAATGCAAGTTTTTAAGTCAATAAAAACCCATGTTACTGATTAAACGCAAAATGGACACGTTTAAGGCCATACCGGGACATTCCAGAGCTAAAAAAAAGGACTATTCTAGGTCTAAACCAGGACTAAAAGGACTACACATGCTATTTATAGTAGTTCTAAACCAAATGATGACAGAAATGGAGAAAATTGGCCGAATGCCACTTTAAATCACTCAGTCAAAGCCATTATACAGGTCTGAGCTTGCACACTCGTTTTATTGGAAAGTTGGCTGAACATTTTTTTGATCCGATAGATATAACACATTTCTGTAACATAAAAGGTGCAAAAAGGTTCAACAAACCATTGCATAGGACTAAAGTCTGCAGAAGAAACCAGCATGAATGAACAAAGAGCGGTCGAGTACATGCATATAATGAAGAATCCAGTGTTAGTCCCAGAACAGCCCAGTCTGAACGCACAATCACCGGGCTTATTGCTGTAGAAATGAGCACTGTAAATGTAATACAAAAATATATCAGGTTTATATTTGAGAGATTTTCACACAATCAACACATTTCACATCGATGAACGTTACTTTCAGCATTTTGGAATAAATACAGATCGAGGGTTTCAATACGAACAGCGTAAAGATCCTCCGTCCCCATCATAGACTGTATAAACGAGTGGACGAAGGCTACGTTCAGACTGCAGGGCTTAACGCTCAATTCGGATTTTTTTGTGAAATCCGATGTTTTTGCGAGGTCGTTCACATTTCCAATTAAATGCGACTTGTATGTGACTCCAGTGTGAACATTAAACGGCCCAAAAGTGATGTGAGCATTGAACACCTGGCGATTTTAAAGTTCCTCTCGTACCGGAGCCAGAACATGAACAACTTACTGGTTTTAACGAGGAGATTGAGAAGGACGAGGTTTTTGGCGGTGGCATTTTGTGGGGCAGTCCATTGAAAGGAACGTGTGGGTGTGAAGACGTAGCCAAGACTGGTGGGATAGCGATGTGCTTTGCTTCAGTGACATGGAGTTCATTAACAATTTTCGTATGACGAGAAGAAAGTTTGCGTACATTTGTCGCTTGTTGATGACGTGTAGGTCGGATGAATGTGCCTTGGACAGACTGAAGTCACATGTCAAAAGATCGGATATGTATGAGTTTTAGGACCACATATCCAAGTGAAACCGATACATATCCGATCTTTTGACATGTGACTTCAGTCTGAACGGCCAAAGCGCATTCATTCACCTACACGTTATCAACAAGCCAAAAACGTCACTATTCTGCGCTGAAGTAGGCGAAAATTGTTAATGAACTCCGTGTCACTGAAGAGAAGCACATCACCACTCACTACTCTTGACTACGTCTCCACATCCACACGTTCTTTTCAACGGACGTCGCTGCCGCTGTCCCACAAAACACCATGACCAAAAACCTCGTCCTTCTCCTTCTCAATCTCCTCCTTAAAACAAGTAAGTTGTTCATGTTCTGGCTCCTGGTACGAGAGGAACTTTAAAATCTCCAGGTGCTCAATGCTCGCGTCCATGTTTGGACAACTTCCGTAAACACAGAGCACGCTCGCTGCGGTTCACGTCGTCGTGTCTCCAGTGCACATGCGGGACACTTTCGGGCCGTTTAATGTTCACACTGGAGTCACATACAAGTCGCATTTAATTGGAAATGTGAACGACCTCGCAAAAACATCGGATTTCACAAAAAAATCCGAATTGAGCATTAAGCCCTGCAGTCTGAACGTAGCCTTAGAGAACCGAAAATAGCGCTCAGCTCCAGTCAAGTGAAGCTCATCGAGGCTCCTGGTTATGGACAAGGCTCCCAACTCTTTTTCACTGACAAAATTTCAAAACTTTTCCGTGAATTTTCCATGACCGTACATAGAATTTTGTAGAATTGATCAGACTTTTAGGGCAAAATATGAAACATTAACTCTTTCCACTCACTTTATGGTTTGGGATTATAGTTTTTTAACATTCAAAATACTGTCAGTGCATTTATTGTCGTCTCTTTTAAACAAAAATGCGCACACGTTCAGAAATAATCATAACAGCCTAATGAGAACTTAACAGAACGCTGTAGTTGCGTGAAAGAGATACTAAAATTCCATGACTTTTTGTAGATTTCCATGACCGTGGGAACCCTGTATGGAACTCGGCTCCGAATTCGCCCCTGTATTTGGGATTCTGAGCGTGAGTTTCGTGGCAACTGAAGAGCCGATCTGAAGCGAGGTTGTTGGCTGTTGAAGGTAACGCCACAGGTTTGACTGACAGCGTTGCGAAACCAAACCAGCGATGCGGGCGATTCGCAACGTCTTCAAACAAACAAAGAAAACTGTGGCTGGGAAACGAAAGAAATGGAGAAGAAAAAAGAAAATGCCTTTAAAATTAAGCTTTAAGACTGTAGTAAAAAGTAAAAGATGATGAGAAGAAATGATGACGGTGAAAAGAATATTAGTTGAGAAGAGTGATGAAAATGTTTATTAAAAAATGGGGAAAAAAGAGCGAGAAAGAAAGGGAAATTAAATTGTAAATTGGCCAAAATATAAATATAAGGGGGCCTGGCAGTGTGGCTTATGTTTTATTTAATTAAATCTGTGTGTGTGTGTGTTTGGAGGAAAAGAGTGGGCAGTTTTGTTGTTTTATATTTGTTGTAGGTCGTTTTATGTTTATGTTTATCTGCTGTTAAAGATACACTGTGTGACTTGTCTACTGGAGGGTCCATCACCTGCTCGTCTCCATGGAGATACGCTTAAAATGTTCCACAGTGCGGCCATAAACTTAAGAATCTCCACGGAGACTTGCAAGCCAAATCACGGGTTAGATTTGTGGAGTAAGAATGGATGTTTTTTTTAGATATTTTTGAGCAATAAATAACACCTGTAATTGAATAAACCCACGACAGATTAGTTTAATGCCGTACTGTGGACAATTTAAACATCTCCATGGAAACAAACAGGATGCAGACCCTCTAGAAAAGTTACGCAAAGCACCTTTAGTGTTCAGATCGGACAAAACAGCGAAATAAAAACACAAGAGCGACTTAGAATCCATGTATCATTTGTTCATTCGTTTTTTCAATATAAAACCAAAAATAATAAAACGGAAAAACAACAGTTTTCTTCATTATTCGTCTCCAAAACCAAAATGAAAAAAAAAGATAATGATTCGTTTTTTCAGTTTTGGATTCTGTGTTTAAATGAAGAATGGAAAAAACGGATAACGGCTGTTTCCTGTTTACGTGACTGCGATGCCAGAGTTTTGTACCACATACGGACTGAACCAGGACTGATCCAGGTCCGGGATCAGAGCAAGACCAGACCGGGACTGAGATCGAGACCAGACCGGGACCAGACTGAGACTGAGACCAGACTGGAACCTGACCGGGACCAGACCAAGACTGAGATCAGAACTGAGACCGGGACCATACCGAGACTGAGACCAGAGCGGGACCAGCCCGGGACAAGACCAGGACCAGAGCGGGCCTGAGACCGAGATCAGGCGGGACCAGAGGCTCGGAGCTCGAAGCTGAGGCTCGGACCCCGCGGAGGCTCAGAGTCAAAGCTCGGAGTCTGGTCCTGGACTTGGATCACTCCTGGTTCAGTCCGTATGCGGTGCAAAAGTCCGGCATCGCAGTCACAGAAGTCACGTAAACGGGAAACGGCTGTTATCCATTTTTTCCATTCTTCATTTTAACACAAAATCGAAAACTGAAAAAACGAATCATTATCCGCTTTTTCATTTTGGTTTTGGAGACAAATAATGAAGAAAACTGTTGTTTTTTAATTTTCTTATTTTTGTTTTTATATTGTAAAATGAATGAACGGATGATACATGGATTACTTAACATGAACATTTTAAACCCGAAACAACGAGAAAAAGGGTGACAGTTTTTCAATACAAAGTGAATCGGAGCCAGAGCCTATGGAGCCGGAAGCGCGCCCGTACTCACGTCCTCAGCTTCGTCCATTTATCTATACATTCTATGCTCCCCTTGTGTAAATATAAGCACTTGTTAATGAGAAAACGTCTTCAAACACTCAGACATCGCCTCCGTCGGGATTTTAAATATTACACTAGCCACAGGTTTTGATTCTAGGATGGATAGTTACCGTTGCTTGCACACATGCACACAGACAATATTCACTTAAAACTCCAGGTTGGGTGTCCGTATAATAGAAGGCAACGCTGTCGATCTAAACTCGGATGCAGCTGAGACCGTCCTTTCCCCTTACAGCAAATGTTCAGTGGTCTTTTTTGAAGTCGGGCAGAGAAGGACATGCTGGTTTGAAGGATCCAAAAATGCAAAATGGTGACGCAAAGTCCAGGAAACAATCACGGAGCGGTCCAATCTCGTCTTCCGATGGTTTATTTTAAGGGATTCTTTTTTTCAGACCAAGGTTTAGTTTGTTTTCATACCTACATACATAAAGTTTCGGCTGCTCAGACTGGTCACGTGATGTTTCCGTGATGTGTCTGGTCAGTGGATTTAAACCGGTTTTGGAGTCTTCAGGACAGCGTCGCCTTTAAACCAGGACGACGGGGCCTTTTTACTGTCACACACCTGGGAAACAGTAGCTCAGTTGGAAAGACTCAGGAGCCACCAGTAGCTCTCCACCCCCTTCCAATTAGTTAAAATTAAAATGAATTACTACAAATTATGAGTAACTGTATTCAGTTACAGTTACTGTTTCAATGGAGGTAATCGGATTACAGTTACTTTGTTGAAATAAATGGATTAAACGGTGGTATTTTCCTGTTTTCACATTTTGAGCTAAACCAGATCTAAACCAGGTCTAAGCCAGGTCTAAGCCAGGTCTAAACCAGGTCTAAACCAGGTCTAAACCAGAACTAAACCAGGACTAAACCAGGTCTAAACCAGGTCTAAACCAGGACTAAACCAGGACTAAACCAGGTCTAAACCACGTCTAAACCAGGACTAAACCAGGTCTAAACCAGGTCTAAACCAGGTCTAAACCAGGACTAAACCAGGACTAAACCAGGTCTAAACCAGGTCTAAACCACGTCTAAACCACGTCTAAACCAGGACTAAACCAGGTCTAAACCAGGTCTAAACCACGTCTAAACCAGGACTAAACCAGGTCTAAACCAGGTCTAAACCACGTCTAAACCAGGTCTAAACCAGGTCTAAACCACGTCTAAACCAGATCTAAACCAGATCTAAACCAGGTCTAAACCAGGTCTAAACCAGGACTAAACCAGGTCTAAACCATGTCTAAACCAGGACTAAACCAGGACAAAACCAGGTCTAAACCAGGTCTAAACCAGGTCTAAACCACGTCTAAACCAGGACTAAACCAGGACTAAACCAGGTCTAAACCACGTCTAAACCAGGACTAAACCAGGACTAAACCAGGTCTAAACCACGTCTAAACCACGTCTAAACCAGGACTAAACCAGGTCTAAACCAGGACTGAACCATGTCTAAACCATGTCTAAACCAGGACTAAACCAGGACTAAACAATAAGACACTTAACAGTAGGATGGATATAATTTAAGGCAGCAGTGATCTCATGTAGAAATCATTTCTCTGTCAATAACATAAAAACAAACTAAACCTTGGTCTGAAAAAATGATTCTACAGAAAGGAATGAATCGTTAAAATAACCCCTCATTACATAAATTTAAGTTCATGAACAACAAAAGAACAAAATATATCAAGATAACAACTCTTAAAGATAAAAATATGATTTAAGTTGAATAGAAAATATTAAAATCTGGAATTAAATGTAAAAGTCCACTTCAAGTCTTGTTTCCCAACTCAGATTGTAGGATCCATATTATGCCATGCAACACTAACTGACAGCATCTGGGATTATTCTAGTTTAAAATATTGTTCAAACAACTATTCAAATGGTTGGCCTATACATACCCTGGTCCTGGCCTATAATAAGAAAGTGCCCCACAAGCGGTAAAACATTTTCATACGTACGGCTGTTGCGTTAAAGGTCCTATATTACACAAAATGGACTCTTGTGAGCAATAAGACGCGTTAGAATGTTGTTATCTCCTCAAAAACAAACCCGGAGTCATGTTTAGTTTCATTCACACGTATAAACAACCCTGGTTTATTAGTTTGTCTGCATCCGCAAAGCTCAAAATGCTCTGTTCCACCTTGTGATGTCATGAAGTGGTGGTTTTCCAATCAACAGTTCAGAAGAGATTTGCAATTCCAAGGTCTGAATTTATCCAAACGATTACAGTGAAGGTGTGTGGAGTTTAAAAACACAACGGAGCACTTTCTGTATTACCATTACTCGATTGATACTTCGCAATGACATTGCAATGGGAGGTTCTACATGTATGTCTACAGCGTAATTTTCAGCAATTAATATAGTGACACAATGTACTAGGAGTGTGCAAAAATACTGAAATATCGATTATCTTATCGCTTAATTTGATGATACAGTATCGATATCGTGGGCTGCTGTATCGATATATCACCAAGAGTATTTTTTTATATATTTTACTAAATTATTTTGTTACAGCTACAGTTTTGTCACGTTTTTAGAAGAAGGAAACTCGTTTATGCGACACATTTGACATCTACTCTGTTTTGTTGACTAAAATGTTTGTGTTTCATATAAATTTTGTGCAAAAAGTGGTTTAAAAAGAATTTTAGTATCGCAGACATGATTTAGCCTTTATTTTTTACTGAACCGTATTGAATCGATTTGAAATATATCGTATCGAATGGAGATATGTATCGTATCGTGGCCTGTGTATCGAATCGGCAACTTCTGAACGATACCCAGCCCTACAATGTGCATATTCGCAAACACTGCCAAATAGGTTTCACGTGTTGTATTTGCAGCCATGTTAGTTCTTTTTGGTTGGATTGTGTTAAAGCAAAACTCAGATTAAAGTCTAACTTGAGTAACAGAGCTCCAGACAGAGCAGCGCGTCCGATAAGCGTTACAACTTCAGGGAATATTGTACCACGTGAAATCACAAGGTAGAACAGTGAGTTTTCTGTTTGAGAACTCGAGTGTAAATATGCAGGATTTGTGTGTGAATGAAACAAACCAAAACACAACTCCAGGTTTGTTTTTGATGAGGAAAGAACATTGTAACACAGATCTGAAAATAGCTTAATATGGGCCCTTTAAAAGTGCATTGAAGCAGTGCAGCTGGAGCCTCCTGCGTTCAGACCAGACTGAAGCCCTCATACTGCTCCACGGCCTGGGTGAGGCGCTGTTTCAGGGTCTCTTTGGTCTGATATCGGGGCATGTCCAGCAGGTTGTAGCAGGTGTGGGCCACGGGCAGATAGTGCTCCTCCGCCGTCGTCGACTGAATCACGATTTTTAGACTCTCCATGCCGTGGATGGGGATGCGGTCGCTGCCGGTCAGGAACACTGCGAGAACATACAAATAATAAGAGAAATACAAATAACTCAGATAACAGTTCACTTAAAGAGGGGTATTTTACTTCTATGGGGTATTAACTGCTCACGCAAACTAGTGCCTCCACTCAATTTCATTTCTCTCCAGCGAATAGGTCAGAAATCGGAATAAACTAAACAGTTTGGAAGAACCTCGGAAGTTTTAGACCACACACCGGCCAATCAGAGAAGAGTTGCGAAGCCATGACGTCAAACTCAAGCGTCTGTCTGTGTCTCTTTTGTGGTACAGCACAACAGTAAACAGAGCGGTCGAGATGGATGTAGACGAAGACTGACATTCTGTGTTGGCAACAATTCCCGAGATCGAAAATTTTAAGCCCGAACAAAGAGAATGTTTGGTGAATTTTATCAAGAGGAAAGATGTTATTGTGATTCTTCCTACGGGATTTGGCGCATTACATACGTCACGACCAAATAGCAGTGATTGGTTAAATAAAAAAAGTACCCTCCTACTGTCGAGCGAATGAATCCTAATGCTGCGAGGTCAGACGGTTTCCACGAAGTGAAACCGGCTGACCGGATGAATCAGACTAATTAACTGCTAACACATAACATATTTAGATCATGATGTTGCCTTTTACTGTTTTGAAAATGCTATATTCACTGAAAACAACGTATTAACATGTTTTAAAAGTTTCATTCTTCTCTTTGCTCCCTCATTAAGTCACTCCCCTTTCAGAGCGCTATCACAACACAATCAGATCATAAATCTGATGAAACTACTGCACGTTGCATCAGGTTTATCAAGTTGCTGTGTACAGTTTTGTATCCTGTTTTTGTATATTTATAGAGAATTGTCGTGGGTGACGCAAGAATAGGGCCTGAGAGAAATTACTCAAACGTGCATGAACGACATTTAAAACCTCTTCAGGCATGTTTTTGATGAGAGAACAACATCATAACATGGTAGAAAGCTAAGAATTTTGAATAATACCTCCTTTTTAACATTTAAATGACAATTGACTGCTTAAATCCAGTCTCAAAACAGTTTTTTTTTAGCTGCATATGATATTTTCTCTTTTAATGTAAATTTTCTGATGATTATTTTTGTTTGTATTGTGATTTTAATATCTTTCTTAATCGGTAAAGCACTTTGAATTACCTTTTGTACAAACTGTGCTGCACAAAAAACCTGTCTTGCCTTAAAGGTGCAGTTTAACACACCTGGTTTTGTTTTTCTTCCAACATTCAATGAAAAACTACGTAGGAATATTTGGCAAAATATCTGACCAATTAAATGCCTGTTGAACTGGGTTTCACAATATACAGAAGTGAAAGTTTCCACAGACTATGTCTAACACAAACATGCACCTCTTAACTCAGAGCTGCAAGTACAAGTTTTAGATAATTCTGCATAAATAGCTTCAATAAAACTTTTAATAACTACAGTAGCGTCCTTTTGTTTTTGGTTTTTGTTTTTTAAAGAGCCAATACAGCATTTTTTCTGATGTTATAATGTTGTTTACTCATCAAAAAAAAATACTTGGGAGCTGTATTTTGTTTCATTCACACATGTTTAAAACACAAACCTTGCATATTTAGGCTGAGTTCTTCTCCCAGACAGAAAACACTCTGTTACAACTCATGATGTCATGTAGTAATACAGGAAGTGCTCCACTGTTTTTACAGCTTCACTACAATTATTTGGATGATTTAAATGTCTATTAAACTAAAGGTAAAAGGAGCTGATAACTTGATATCTTGATAACTACATCACATTATGGAACAGTGCATTTAGAGTTTTGGAAATGTAAACAGACTAATAATAAAGTGTTACTCAAGTGTCAACGAAACAAAACACAACTCCAGGTCTGTTTTGATGAGGTAACAGCATTATAAATCTCACAAGAGTCAGTTTTTCATAATATCGGACCTTCAAGTACAGCTCACCGTTTTAAAATCTTGTCTCTGGCGGCAGAAACGATGTGAGCACAGGACAAAACACAGACTGACAGCACAGTCAGCTCCACTGCTGTGCGGATGCTATTGAGGCGTTGCTATGGGAACTGTTGCCATCGCCACCACTTGCCCGTCACAGTCGTTTAACTTCAGCCGACGAATGCGCCTGAACTAAACAGATTAACCTTTTCATTTATATTAAGTCTTACGTCTCAGCAACTCGAGAAAAGCAACAGTTTCATCACTAAAAACACGTTTTCTCTAAATGTTACAAAAGACACTTTATTCTAAATAATGTGGCCAAAGCTCCTTGTCAAAGCCTGATCTCGACAGCTCTCAGAAGCAAGAACCGCTGGAAGGCCAGGAGCACAGTGGGTTGTTGTTGTGTCCATAGGCAAGACACTCATATTGCCTAGTATGTAAGTGCTCTGTGTGTTGAAGGGACTGACGGTGCAGTTGCACTCTGCCCCAGAGTGACACTCCCACTGACAGCCACGTGAATAAATAATGCACAAAATTGCAGCATCTGGAAATACGCTATAAAATGTAAAATTATTATATAAAACTATATTTATTAACAATATATATAACACTACCACTATTTCTTGTTGTCTCAGTACTAAAATTTCAAACTCAATTTCGATACTAAAGAATAAACCTGATACATGATACCAATTTTGAAACCCAAATGATCATTTTAAAATGTATTTTTAGACAATATTTGACTTTTCAATACAAAATCATATTATTTGTTAACATATGGTCTTGCTCTAGTTCTGAACTCAAGATGAAACTGTTTTGGAAAGGTACAATTTTATCCCGTTACATTCTTTAAGCTTATATACTTGTTTAAATTACTGTCTAGTTTTGATGTTAAAAGTATCAAAAATCTGAAACTAATCTGAAACTAATCGATACTAGTTTTAGCATAGATTAGTTTCGGATTTTCTATACTTTTGACAACCTCCTGTTATCTATTTCTATTACTGCTGACACTGGTGGAGGTGAATGAAATAAAACAGGCTGCACTACAGTTTCACAGTTTCATGTCTATTCTAACATGAGAGGCCAAACACTGCCAGTTATAATTAATTACACAGTCCGAAGCTGCTCGTTACAGCCCGTCTAACTCACTGGGGGATGGACAGAGTTAAATTGCCGTGAAGGCCGTGCTGCCGGAGACTTACACAAGAACTGCTTCTTTTTCTCCAGAGGAAATTCATGGAAGACTTCCCAGAACAGCCGGACGGTCGGGTGTGTGGCAGAGTATTCCCCTTTGTACTCAGCATTCTGTAAAACAACAACAACAATACGTAAGAGACAGAGCAGAGTCAAGTTACAGCGTCAAGTCATGATGAAGTTTGGATTATTTACACTGTGGATTCTCACTGACGTCAACAAAATTATGAATGGATAAATTACTGGACTTTAAATGGACATGGGTACTTTTTTTTTTTTAACATCTTGACAGGACTGGACATGTCTCTTTTCCTTTTCTTTTCTTTGTGGTGTGCAAAAATATAAAAATATCGATATACTATATTGTTTAATTTAATGACACAGTATCGATATCGTGGGCTGCTGTATGGATATATTGCCAAGAGTATTTTTAGGTATATTTTACAAACTTATTTAGTGAAAGAGCTATAATTGCGTTGACATTTTCACCGATTTGAGTAGAATGGGTGTTTTTCATATTAACTTTGTCCAAACTTCAAGGATTTAGTAGACTTTTAGTATCACAGCCATGATTTAGTCTTTGTTTTTCACTCAACCATATCAAATTAATTTGAAATATATCGTATCAAATCGTACTGAATCGAAAGTGCACTGTACTGAAAAACATATCGTATTGCGGCTTTTGTATCGAGGTATGTATCGTATCAGCAACTTGTGAATGATACCCAGCCCTAGTGTGGAGTGTGTGTGTGGTGGTGTTTTTTGTTTTTTTTGTATAATTTCTAAAATTAAAAAATAGCAAATTAAAAAAGGAATCTAGTATACAAAAAACATACAAAATAAAACTCAAAACTTATGTTAGATTTAAAAAAAAAAAAATTCAAAATATCCACCCTTTGCTTTGAACCCTTGTTTGAACTTTTGGCATTTCTCGACCTTGACATGGCACAGCTGTGAAGTGAAAACTATTTCAGGAGACTTAAAAAGAAGGCCAAGGGTTTTAGCGCTATCAACAAAGCAAATCCTGGATACTTTGAGGATTACAATATCAAATTTAAAAAATATTTACCGTATTTTACAGACTACAAGGTGCACTTAAAATCCTTTAATTTTCTGAAAAAACGACAGTGCGCCTTATGTATTAATTCTGGTTGTGCTTACTGACCTCGAACCAATTTTATGTGGTACACAGCACTCGAGAATCTGTCAAAATCTCAGTTTTTTTCAGCGCTTATAGTTTATGCAAATTAGCCATGTGGTTTTAAGTTTCATTTCTGTAAAACGTAAACAAATGTGCACAAAGCCACATTAAACACATTATTACTCAATGTATATTTGAGTCATCCTTGTATTAAACTAAAAAAACAAACTTAAATTAATTATCCACCCACATTCACATTCATAATCCACATTCACCAAGACAGTGAGGCAACGCCGAGGAAATTACGCCACAAAGGATCAGTCTCAAGTGTCGTCCATTTGTTTCGCTTGATGCTCCTTATAATTCGGTGCATCTTATAGTCCGAGAAATACGGTAGTTGAGTAACTTTAACTTTTTCTGTACAAATAAACTCACCTTGCCTTGCCTTTAATAAACAATGAACGCAAGGGTGTGTGCAAACTTTTGACTGGTAAAGTGGAGTACAGGTAATTGCAAAGTTCTACTGCAGAATTGTTGTTATTGCTAAATCGGAGAGAAGTTAATCCCAGAAACTCACGTGTCATTGCTAAGATTTTGTTTTCTTAGAAGCCAATTCTTCAAAAAGCCTGGTTGCATTTTGATTATTTCCTTTTAGTCTTGCTTTGACCTTGAAATAAAGCAGCTCTAATTTCTGGAATAAATATTGCATCTGATACATTCTCTGGTTCCCATCAATCCTTACTAAATAAATTAAGATGCCACGCCCAATAGCTTTAATAAGCCAAGAAAAACACATGCTATTTTCATTTTATAATTCTGCTTTTCCGGTATGTCGGTATTTCCTAAAGCATTGTTCATTCACAAAATCAGCTGGTCCCAATGTCCCAGTTTAGAATCCCTCCATTTACAAGATGTGCTTTATAGTTCACTAATTCTCTTTAATATATAAGCACTGTAGTGTACCGAGGTTAAAAATAACAACCACGGGTTACACATTACATCCGAAACAGTGGGAAGCTCTTCCCAAAGAAGTGTTCTATTTCTATTCTGAGGTCAAACTACCATTAAAAGGTCCTAAATTACACAAAATTGACTTTAAATTTGGTTATAATGCTGTTAGCTCCTTTTAAAACAGACCTGGAGTTGTGTTTTGTTTCATATGTGAATAAAACAAAACACAACTCCAAGTATGTTTTTAATGCAGAAACAACTCTTTTTCAAAATTTCAAAAGTTTTCCATGACTTTTTCATGACCTAAACACATACACACACATAAACATACATACTAGGGGTGGCATGGTTCATGAAAAAAAAAAAGAAAAGTTCTGTCTGCTTGTCACAGTTCAGAACGTGTGCTAATACGTTCGGAAAAAATCATAATAGTAGGAATGTAATGATTTCCAAATCTCACAATACGATATTTTCACGATTTGCATCTCATGGTACTATATTTATTGCGATATTTGTGGAGACTAACAGTGAATATTAGGGCTTGGTATCATTAAGAAGTTGCCGATACGATACATACCTTGATAATTAGGCCATGATACGATACATCGCACGAGGAAAAATATAGTTAAGTTAGTCTTTGGCCATCTAAATAAAGGCCTTTTAACTATATTTATTCTTTTGCGATTTTTACTTCTTTGGAGTGCCTGAATTTTCATGACTGTGGGAACCTTGAACATTATAACAGATCAGAAAATAGAGTAATATGGGCCCTTTAAAGTCTCACCTTCTCCATCTCCTCCCAGTTGTAGTTGCTGTTTCCCACCACCATGGCCATGAGCTCCGAGGGCTGGAATAACCATAAGATCTCTCCCCCGCACACTTTGAGGAAGCCGGTGGAGAAGGCCTCGTACTGCTCGCTCACAGAGTCGCAGAACACGTAGCGCAAATATGCATCCACGAACTCCTTCCTGGAACGGCAAAACAATGCATTATTTATATCTTCTATAAAAAACAATAACAAGGAAATGGGGCTTTTGAAAACACTGGGCTCATTGTTTTATTGATACTTTGCAGTGAAGTTACCCTGGGGATGTCCTATGTGTAGCTCTAGGGTGGAATGTTAAGTGACACAATGCACAATGCACACATAAGCAAACACAGCCATAAAAGTTTTCATATATGGTATTTAATGTTATTTAATCTACCATCTACAGCTCAAATCTTACTTTGCTTACATAAAACTGGCAAAATCTCACCACTTTTGCAAAGAAATTGTAGACACGATAAATACTGAGGATAAAAATATATTGTTGCAGATTTCATATATGGAAAAATAAGATGATAAATTGTCGTGACAGGCCTACAGTAAGTAAAGTTATTTGAGAGCGACTTGTTTAACAGCACAAATCAGCTCACCTCATCATCTCTTTATAATCCAATTGTGCTAAAATAAAGCTCAGATTAAAGTCTAACTGATAGTTTACAGTGACATCACGCTGAGGGTCTTCTACATGTATCTCTAATGGTGGAATGTTTAGGAGTTACCATGGCGACACAATGCACACAACCGAAAGTTTTGAGATTTAAGTACGAAAACTCAAGAAAAAACACAAAATGGATTTAAACAGCACATTTTCAGAAACCTGTGAGCTTTTCTGCCCTACAAAAGCAGAACACCATAACATTATGTTTGGTCAAAAATGAGTGTCATTTTGTTTGTACTCGAGACCTCCTTTATCATGTGAATAAATATCGTGAAAAATATTGAGCTCAAAATTGACCTTTGAGCCTCATTTGTCAGTTCCTGTTCTCTGCCATTGTATCATGAGCCAAAAATAAGGAGTCGTGCAAAGACAAAAGGCAAAAAGGCAGTAACAGTGTATGTTTTGTTTGTGATTTAGTTCATAAATATAATTTATGTTTAAATCCAACCTCTCGCCTCCTTCTTTTTGTTGCGGCCTTGGCACAGGGTCTGAACACATTAAATAAATAAACCTTTGTATTCAGTTATACTTAAATTATCTTTAACGAGAAAGTATTTTGTGAATTTATTCATACTGTACACACTTTACTGCAAAGTCAATCGTCTGTCAAACTGTTTAACTGTGCAAATGTCACCGCAAAATCTTGATCAGCATAAAACAGGAAATCCAAAGCTCTTCTATATCATTTCAAACAAACACCATGATGACTCGACCTTGGTGAGATGTTCTTATAATGGATGGCAGTCTGGGGAAAATCAAGCAAATAATGATAATGATAGTTTCTCTGCCTTTTGCCTTTGCACAACTCATTTTAAAGGTCAAAGATCACTTTTGAGCTCAATATTTTTTGTATACAGTATTTCTTAGCAACTAGTTGTCAAACTTTGGGAGCTATACCTATTAGAGGTCTGCATGGGACAGAATTTTCAGTCCACTCCTGCCCGCGCCCTCAAAGAATTGTAATTTTCAATCCCACTCCCGCCAGCACCTGCGATAATTTGTCCCACTACCACCCGCAAATCCTGCAAATTGGGGACAATTGCTTTCTTAAGCTCTATCAAACATGGAGAAGCGGTAAGGAATTGTCTAAAATGTGCGTGAGATTAGACCACGTCCACAAATTTAGAAAAATTTATTAGACGCACTCTTAAGCGCCACCCTGGACCTTGGGTGTTTTTTTGGGTGCCATGTCTTATTGGTGTTGTCCTCAGATTGGCACGACGATCCCACTTCTTTGACAAGAAATGTAAGATTACGGACGTAACTCTGGCCTCTTACTAGCCCAAGAAAGCCGTAGCACCCGAGGGTCAACAAAAACGAAGAAAAGAAAATAAGTTCTTCACCTTTTTTTAATTGGCCACACCATGAGCAGATCTGACAGCATGTCCCCATGACAGACAACAGGCAACCACTCCATGACAAAAGAATTCCCCTTATATAGCTTGGCCTAAACCACTAAGCCCCAAACAGGTAAATTTAAGCTTTTAAAAACTACTAAATATAAGATTATAAGATTTACAACTATTTACATTTCATCAACTAATATTGCACTTTGTAACATCAGGATTATCAGTTTTTAACTATTATTTCATGTATTAGTTAGATAGTTAAAACCATTTTGACAGTTAAACCTCCTCTCCCCCAGCAGCACTTGCCAGGATGCACCTGGCCTGCACTGATAAGGGCACGCCTCCAAATCAGTGCCTCCACCAATCACCTCAAAGGAAAGGAAAAAAAGGAGTGAAACAGGGAAAATTAGCATGGCATCAAATGAATATAACTGAAAACATGAAGGTATATAACTGATGAGTCAGGGTGTGGTCTACAGTATAGCTCCCTCACAAACCCCATCAAAAAATGACTGCGCGCCCCGCAATCCAGAGCGCCCTATACAATCCACTCGGGTGTCCCAGCACGACTTCAGTAAACTACAAAGTCACAGCGCACGCAAACACACACGGAGCAGACAGCAACCGCGCAGTGAAAAACACCCACAGCCACACTCATCACTCCACCCCGATGAGGAATGGAACGGAGGAACGAACCGAAAAAGCGAGTGCAATGTGCCACTTCTAGACACAACTGAACAACTGAGTCACTGCGAACACGCCGACAATCCAGCGGTCCCAGACAGCACCCTCCCTACACGCCACAACTGAACAAAGCCCAGAGTCACCGTGAACGCGCCAAACAAAGTCCCACTGACCCATACAACTGTTGTGTTTCGTTTAAAGTCCGGTGCGGTTTATTTGTGAAAAAAGTTTGAAAATAGACCATTTAATGACAGTGCGTCTTATAATCCAGAGCGCCTAATAGTCCGGAAAATGTGGTATATTAATCATTTGCATATTTTACTTTACACTGAAATTTAGTTTGTGGGACTGCAGTTTATGATCCCACCTGCCTGATCCTGCAAAACAGTGCAGGCCTCTACTATATATTACACTTTGTCTGGACAAAACAGAAACTTTTAAGTAATTTTTCTCAGTTTCACACTCTGGCAAGTTAAGATCTTTTGTCTTTGAAGGGCAGAATAGGAGTATTCGATTTTCAACAAATAAAGGTGAATGTGACAAACTACAAAACTGTTGACTAATGCGAGCTATTTTGTGACTGTAATGTTACATGAGAGACTTGTTGAACAGCACAAATCATCACACTCATCTCATATCTCCAGCTAAATCAGCACTTTATAGTTAGATCATGATAAATCAAAGCTCATAGTCAAGTCTAACAAAGCCTCAGAAAGAACAGAGCCTCCAGTTGGCACCACACACCCAAGGAATGTTGATGCCAGCAGCTGCAAAGTATCAATACAAAGTGTACTGAACGTGCTCAGAGTGTACGTAAACACAGTTGTATTTCCTGATGTGCAAGCTGGTCTGAGGTGATTAATTTGTAGAGTGACAGTTTCTGCGGCCTCGTGCCAGTCCGGGAGGTGTGTGCTGTTTACATTACAAGTTGCTTAGTTGGATTAAATGGATAAGAGCATTAGGACACTGCACACTCCCAGAGCCGCTGAGGTCAACAAATGATCTAGATATGGGACACCGAATGCTTAAGTAAATATTGTTCTGTTATGGGCAGAGATGAAGTTGTAAAATGTGTGAAAAGTGAAAAGTGCATTGCAATACAAAAAAAAACATTTCAAATTTCAACTTAATGAATGCATGTACTTTTTCTTTGTACTAGTGGGAAATATCTTGTTATTTTTAGACACTACAATGAAATTTAAAGGTGCACTGTGTTACTTTTCTGGTTCAGGGTCCGCTTGTCTCCATGGAGATTTTATTGCCCAGAATTTTCCACAGTATGACATTCATTACTTACTTTACTTACTTATTTTACTTACTTACTTTTACATTCATGCTTTAATTACTTATTTTATTTACTTTACTTACTTTACTTTCATACGTTACTTTCTTACTTTACTTATTTTGCTTACTAACTTAACTTACTTTACTCAACTTTCTTTACTTTATTTTCGTACTTTACTTACTTATTTTACATACCTATTTTACTTACTTATTTTACTTACTTTACATACTAACTTTAAAAAATAAATAAAAATTTATATTTTTGGGGATAATTTTGCTTTAATGGTTTGGTTTCAATTGGTTTCTATATTGGAGGAGTTCAAGTATCTTGGGATCTTGTTCACGAGTGTGCATCACTGCGTCTGCGGTCGCTGTATCGGACCGTCGTGGTGAAGAGGGAGCTGAGTCAAAAAGTAAAGCTTTCGATTTACCGGTCAATCTACGTTCCTCCCCACACCTATGGTCATGAGCTTTGGGTAATGACCGAAAGGACAAGAACGCGGATACAATCGGTCGAAATGAGGAGCCAGTTGAGAAGGCACAGGCATCTGTTCCGGATGCCTCCTGGGCGCCTCCCTCGGGAGGTGTTCCAGACTTGTCCCACTGGGAGGAGGCCCCGGGGAAGACCCAGAACATACTGGAGGGACAATGTCTCTGGGGTGGCCTGGGAACACCTCTGGATCCCACTGTTGCTTCCGGGACCAGGCCCCGGATAAAACGGAAGAAAATGTATGGATGGGTTTCTATATTTACTTCAGGAATATTTCACACTTCAAAATGTGTGCGCTGCTGAAAGGCTTATAACCAAGATGACCAGATTCCCCAATATCAAGAAACAACTTTGATATTATTTGAAAGCAGTACATCCAGATAAACTCTTATGTGAATGACTGAAATGGAGCATCTTATGAAACACCCTATAATGAGAAACAACTGACTTTATACACTACCATCAGCCAAGAGTTTGGACACATCCTCTTATTCAGTGTTTTGTTTTGTTTTCCTTAAGGTTTACTACTTTCTACATTTTAGATACAAACAGTAGGCATTAAATATATGATGCAAGATATGTGGAATCATGTAGTAAAGGAAATACGTTAAATAAACAACTAAATACTATGTATATTTTTTAATATTTTATACTCAAATCTTCAAAGTGGCCAATCTTTGCTTTGCGGACAGCGCTGGACACCCTTGTCCTTCTTGATGAAGTCTCCTAAAATGGTTTTCACTTCACAGCTGTGTCATGTCAGGGTCAAGAAATGTCAAAAGTGCAAATGGTGTCTATTTTTATTATTGCAGTTTAAGTTTTTAGATATTTTGAGTTTATATTTTGTTTGCCACATTCCACATAGCTTTGATGCCTTCAGTGAGAATCTACAATGTAGATAATCATGCAAATATAGAAGAAAAATGAGATGAAAAAGCGTGTCCAAGCTTTTGATCGGTAGTATCTTTGCACAGATGGAGAATCATAAAAAACATGATTCACATAAACATTCATACCATACTCCTACAACTTTACAACAACGCCTTATTTATGCGTTATTCGACACCAGTCTCTTGCTATTTTATATTATATTATATTGTGTTGTGCGAGCTACTGTGCCCAAATAATTTCCCTCATGCATCAATAAAGTTTGCCTAAATCCAAACACTGAAATTGCAACATAATCTATCAAACCTCAGGTAATCAAATCATCGGCCCACTCAGTCCTGCTGTTTTGGGGATGACAGCAGCAGCCTGGGCCATCTGTTACACACAGCTCTGAGCAAACTCCACGCAGAACACACTGTGCTCTCGTTCAAATATCAGACATGTTTCCCAAACGGGACACGACATAAAAAGCTGAACTCGGGGCCCATAACTTGACATGAGCTGTATCCAGTTTCACCTGTTGTTTTTGTCCACGTTGATGCTTTCGCCGCCTGGGACCAGCTCCTTCACCTCAGTCATCCCGTAGTTCTCCCGAGTGATCTGACAACAACAAAAACAAAAAAATATAACTGTTATGAAAGCGTTTATTACATCCTTACGTAAGACAATTAGGAACATTAAAGGGCTCATGTTACGCTATTTTCTGATCTGTGTTATAATATTGTGTCTCTAAAAGTTGTGTTCATTGTGTCATTCGCACAAATCCTGCATGTGTAGGTTGGGTTCTTGTCTCAATTAGAAAACACTCTTCACTTTCACTATAATTATTTGGATAATTTCAGTCCAGGAAGTGCCCATCTCTCCTGAACTAACGGTAAAAGGAGCTGTTAACTTGAAAATTACAGCTTTTTGATACTGCAGGGCAGAAAAGAGCATTCTGAGCTTTTGAGATATAGACAAACTAAGAATAAAAGGACTATTCAAACATGTGAGAATGAAACAAAACACAACTTCGGGTATGTTTTTGATGAGGTAACAACATTATAACATGTCTTAAAACTCACAAGAGAGATATAGGACCTTTAAATTTTGCCGCAATTAATTCATTTGACGTTATCATGAGCTGTCTGTACCACTGACAGCTCACTGCAATATCAGCTTAATGAAAGATCCTAATCTTTCAGCCAACATGGATTTTTGTGGCATAGAACATTAGGAGGCATCTATTCAAATGTGCATTATGTAACTTTTCCGGTAAGGTGGGGGTCCTCGTCCTACGGCAGTTTACACTTATCTTGCATTTATTTAGCTACAAAATAAATAAGTTCTAATAATTGCATTTTTACAGTTGCTCCACAGATCTGACTGACAGGCAACAGGCCAAATCTCTCAGCTTTTATTGTCAACGTCAAAATGAATTATACTCGAGTTACATTTTGTCGTCATACTTTTATTTAATGTCCAAACAAGACATGCTGAGACATGCTGTAAGTGTCTCCAGCAGGCGTAACACTGAGACATGCTGTAAGTGTCTTAGTCAGCCGTAACACCCTGTTCACACATTTAAAACTCTTAATCATTTTCTAAGCTGTTTTTGGACTCTGATAAAAAAATAAATAAATACAGCACTGCATGTCTTAAAGTGGTTAGGCTTTATTATGCATTATTCTCTTGCGCAAACCTCTCAATGAGTCACACATGTCGCACAATCACTGTCCGCATGCATAAAGTATTGTATCGTTAACTTGTTTTGCGCCACATATGTAAAGGCGACAGTGGCCCAAGCAGTGGTCCCAAACCCAAAGCAAAGTTCTGTCTTTGTGCTCGAAGGCAAGACATTTCATTCACATTGCCTAGTACGAAAGTGGTGTGTGCTTAAGTGGTGGTTGGAGGGGCCAAGGACTATGGTGTAGATCAGACCGGGGCATTGTCCAGCTCCCAGGGCACATACGGCTCCTTGGTTGCCTCTGCGCAGTTCATTTAAGCCAATTTGGAATTACAAAATAAACATATTTTATCATTTCACCTCATGCATGGACTAAAGCTGCACTGCTTTTATTTTAGAGGTGTTTTTAAATGAGATTTTTTGTAAGGCAGCCTCACTTTTTCATCGCTTAGTCACAACATAAACTCTTACCAGTCTTACCAGCTCGTCAAAACAATGCGATTTACTGCTTTTTATAAAGAAATACAATTACGGTAATATTATGCAGAGTTTAGTTAAGCATTTTGGCTCGGTTCTCCACAATATTTTCTGTTTCTAATGTGGCCCCATGGAAAAAATAATTACCCACCGTTGCTGTAGACTATAGGAGCTTTGACAAACCTGTAAAGAGCATTACAAATGTAAGGATTAGGGATGGGCATTCGATGAAATTTTCTTAATCAATCGTCGGAAGAATTAACGATCGATTATCGATTAATCTTTAACGTTTTTATATTAAAATGATCATCATTATTATTACTATCTGCACTACTAATCTGCATGAATAAATTCAACTTTACGACATATAAACCGTAACGACTCTAGAGCCACATCAATCCGTTTGACATTATAATGTGTTTAATTCAGTTTTGCGCAACTCTCACAGAAACGAAACTTAAAACCGCATCGCTAATTTGCATAAACTAAGCGAGGATAAAACTACAGCTCTTGTGTCGCTGATGCGGTCAATTTCTGTCGGATTAAAAGACATGATTCAGTGGAATACAGGTTAGTGTGATCATATTTGCGTTTGTCAAAACCAGGACACCGTACGGGTGGAGGGGGGTGGGGACTCGTCATCGACATTGAGCGACTCTCACCTGGTAAAGCTTTTTCCCACTGGACACCGAAGCATATGTGCTGCTTTATACACTGTGCACAAGGACTCCCACTTGTCCCGAACGCAACAGAAAGCGTGGAATTTCTTGTACAAATCATCGTTAAATACACATTTGTGCTTCTGCACGCTGCAGGCTGACCGAATGTTTGTGTTTGCTCGCTCCTTCTGAGTGCAGAGAGACACATGTACGGACCCCTGTTTGGTCACGCTACGCACAGCAATCTACATTCGGTTTGTCGATTAAAATGAACGTAATCAATGAAATTCTTAATGATCAATTATTCGATTAATCGATTAATCATGCCCATCCCTAGTAAGGATTTTATTATTTTTTTATTATTATTAGATATGTGTTGTAAAATTATAATGACAGAAATAGTGTGCAGTGACAGTACCAATATTTTAAGTTTGAACTCAGCTGGAAAACCTTTAATTTTCAACATAATTATCGTCTCCCATTGCATCAAAACAAGTGAGTGATGTTTTTAGGTAGCTAGTTTGTTTTCGGTGAAACAGTCGGAGCGGTGGGAGGTCTGGGTCTGTACAGCTGCAGCGCACAGAGCCCCGCGTTAATGATGGTGAGGAGATTAGAACATGTGTGTAATTAGCAGCTTCGTTGACAGCTGCTGTTGCCTGCTAAAGCAATTAGCTTCACACGTCTCCATGGCCGTATAGTTTTGTTTTATGCACCGGCAACCTCGTGTGAATCATTGTACAAGTTTAATATTTTATGACTCACAGAAAAGTTGAGTAAAAACGTCTCCTCTACGTCATTGCCGTCGTAGTCCAAAAGCTGCTGAAGACTCCTATAAGAGAAAAATAAATAAAGCTTTGAGTTTTGTATAATGATCTATTTTTATGCACTTGTGTATTGACCATGAGTCTTTTATACTTGTTTATTTTACAGAAGAAAGCCATATGAATTATTAACGGTGCACTGTGTAACGTTTTGGATTCCATTTATTCATTTACAGATGGTTTTATTGCTCAAAAGTACCTAGAAAAACAAACAAAGCAATAAAATCTCCATAAATAAAAGCATTTAACGAACCAGAAAAGTTATGCAATGGACCTTTTAACAAATCAGGTTCACACTTATTTCTTTTTTTCTCTTGAGTTCAGTGTGACCTGGTAGAATACCAAACAGCTCAAATGATGTTTATACTACAGCAGCAGAACTCTCTACCGATAAACACACAGAAACATTTTCATTAGTAACACAGTGTTGATGAACTCAGGGCACTGTGGACAAAGACACAGTACCCATATTTAGCCCTATTCGCACGGGATTAATGTTACCTGTGGGCCTTTGGTGATTTGTAATAATGGCGGAGGATGCCTGAGATTTGAATCCCGTGAAAAAGCGTCATGTCTAATTTGTAAAGTAAAAATTCCACCTCAAATTACCTACTATATTTCGCCAAACGCATATATCCGGTGATAATACTCATCCCGTGCGAATCTGCATCTCTGTGTTTGTTGTTTGTTGTAATTGCGTGCCTTTTCTGTGCCATTCTTTCTTTTCTTTCTGCGCTCTTTTCTCTTTCAATCTCAGTCAATGTCAGTCAAATAGAGGAAGTTACAGACTTCGCTTATCCCGTGCGAATGCTCTGCAAGTAACACAGAGGTGGGGCGGTAATTTGCAAATTACCAGACGTCCCCCAGGTTGTATTTATTCCGTGCGAATATGGCTAATGAAAAGCTTTTGCATCTCTGTCTCTGGTGTTTGAAAATGGAGTGACTTAAGCCACAAATTTAAACAATGTTCAAGCATGACGACATTTAAAGGCGCCCAGAGTAACTTTTCTAGTAGAAGGCTCGTCTCAAATGTTCTACAGTTTGGCATCAAATTTATCAATCTCCCCAGAGACGAAAAGGTGACGTCACCAGGTTAAATTACAGGTCAGATCTGTGGAGAGCCGACCCTGCTCACGGAGAGAATGTCTGATTTTCAAGGTATTTTTGAGCCTTAAACCACAACAATTAAATAATATAAATGCAAGATACACAATTTTAACTTTGAAACAATTCAGGCATGGAAACAACCAGGTAGCAGACCCTCCACCAGAGAGGTTACACAGTGCACCTTTAAGAATACATACAAAGAAATGATATTGATGAATTAAGAAAACAGTGAAAAGAGATCATTTTTAAGTTTTCTTTTTTCCTCTCTCTTCTGTTAATAATCTATATATTTAATGAACTAACATGTAACAGGAAACAGAAAATTTTAAATTCTAATTAGGAAATAGGATTAAATAAATTATGCTGTTCCCACTCCTTTTTGAAAATGTAAACTCACAAGCAGTTTACAGTGTTTAATATTAATTACACTGATTGTGACTGCTCTTGCGATGTCTTTATTTGTGATATGACTTTTGTTTAATAGTCCAGTGCATGTTTAAAATAAATTCATTCATAATAACACACTTGCAGGGACTAATTATTAATCCTAACTGGCAGGAATATAGTACCCAATTCTAATTATTTTTTAACGAACTCTTAATGAGAAATGCAAATGAATTCCTGGTACAAGTCATGTCCCTGGGGAAGTTCGCTCAGCACTTTAAAATTACAAAAACACCCAATGACAAAACAAAGAGAAGCTAGAGAAACACTTGGACCCTCTTTTCTGCATCACTCAAGGAAAAACAAAAACTAAAACACAACACTACCCACACCTGTCCATCTTTCCCACAATCAGGGAATAATTTTGCTCTATAAAATGCTCCTTTATAAAAGAAAAATATGTAAAAAGGGTAGAGTGCTAAGAAACGAAGCACAAAACTCTTGTTTATATTGTGATATTTGATTCTCTTGACACAATCACTGTGTTTATTGCTTTTTCATTCAACAATCCCACTGTTTTTAATTGAACAGTTTTAAAAGCCCTTCTGGGGACTTGGCTATAAACACTGTGATACTTGCGTCAGATTACTGAATTGTTAATCTTTATTTGTGTATCTGTCCCTATTCAACGAAACAATAAAAAAATTTATACCGTATTTTTCAGATTATAAATTGCACTTTTTGTTCATGGCTTGGGTGGTCCTCCGACTTATACTCCGATGTGACTTACAAATTAAAATTTTCACACTGATAGCTGTGAGAGGCTCTAGGCTTGTGCGTCAGTATCTGCTGCGCCACTGTCACTTGGCTCTACTGTGCATGTCTCCTGCAGAAAGAGCCTCTGTCCTGCTGCAAGTAGTGATTTGAGAGACACGATACAAATGAACAGCTGTGGTTGGACCATCCCAAGTTTGTACAGAGGTTTTTTGCGTTCTATGGTTCATTTCCAAACCTTTTTTTCTGATTTATGCTATGCTGCTCTTGTTTCCTCAACAAAACAAACATGGAGTTGTGTTTTTGCTGTTTAATTCACACATGTTTAATACACAAACCCTGCAGATTTCAGCTGAGAACATGTGTGAATGAAACAAAACTCCAGGTATGTTTGAGGAGGAAATTCACACAGCGCTTCAAACGAAAACAGCCAATAACAAAACAAAGTACTATTGAAAGAATGTGCATTTTGCAAGTAAAATTCGCTCAACCAGTTTTTGTTTTAAACTCAATCCTGTGAAAAGGAGCAGGACATGTTTTCATTTTCAGCGAAACGTGGCCTTGTGGAAGACTGCACAATTGGCCCTTTGTGAAACTGCCGTATGCTATGATAATTGCGTTGCATGGGAAGTGGCTGATTGCAAAGTCAAACTAATCAGAGCTGTGAAAGAGAGCGTTTTACAGAATATATGGCATTTTGCACAGCTCCTCACAATTCACACTTGTTTATCTAGCCAATCTTTTTTATTTCGTCTAATTTGATGCCCTCTTCTTGTTGTAAGGATCTGCCATTGTGCACGCAGAATAAGCATGCTTAAACCAATCCCTGTGTGACATTGGCTGGCCTACAAAGCGCCAACTGTAAGCACACACAGCACGGACTAATGGGAATAGGAGGTTACATAACGGAGCAGTGACCGATACAGAGCGACACCAAACAGACCAAATGCCAAAGGGTTTAGGAGCCGGAGATGACAAGAGGATTTAGCGTCACTTGTGATGATTGGGGTCTTGTTCGTAGAGTGTGTAAAGAAGTGGACCGAGGGATTGTGACATCATCCATGGCATTTTACTCCAGTCAAATGAAGTTCATTGAGGATTGTGGTTATATCCATGGCATTTCACTCCAGTCAAATGAAGCTCATTGAGGCCGCCAGTTATATCCATGGCATTTCGCTGCACTCAAATGAAGATCATCAAATCCAGCCGTTATATTCATGGCATTTCACTCCAGTCTAATGAAGCTCATCAAAGCCTGCAGTTAAAACTATGGCATTTCACTCCAGTCAAATTGAAGCTTATTGAAGCCTGCGGTTATATCCACGGCATTTCTCTTCAGTCAAATGGAACTCATCGTGGCCTGTAGTTAAATCCATAGCATTTCACGCCAGTCAAATGAAGCTCATTGAGGCTTGCATATGTTCCATATTTGGCATCCCGACTGTAAGTATCATAGCAACCAAAGAGCCAATATGGAGAGAGGCTCTTAAAGGTAATGCCTGTTCACACTCTCACCGCTGTTTTGGCAGGGGGCGGGCGCTTAGCAACGCTGTCAATCAAACCTGTTGCTAAAGCTAGAGGGAGTGACCTTAGGGAAAGAGAGCAGCTCACTGATCTGTTATTGATTTACTTTGTCCCACTTCTATTTACTTCCCTCTACTTCTTTTTGTATGACAATTGCTTTTGTTTATTTGTTACATAAAAGAAGTTGTTTTTTTTTCGTATTATACCAATGCATTTATGTTTTCTACGCATTACTGTCCAAAAAAATATCTTGATTTACAAACAAAATACTGGAATTAATTGAGGCCAGTTTGAGTCATCCATGAATAAGATATTATCACTAAGTTAATCAAAACAATTGGACTTAGTAACTGTTAGCCCCACTGCTAAATCTGATCTACCTACCTGGTTGGGAGCAAAATGTTGAATGCAGAAGTTTAGTAAGTCCAGTTGTTTTGATTAACTTGATGATAATAAAATAGTGAAGTATTAACCCCAGGATCAGGTAGAGCAGGTCTAATAGAAACATTTTAAGACCAAAATGATGAGCCTGACAGCAGCAGTTACAGAGAGAGAGGCAACAGTTTTTCAATAGAAAGTGAATTAGGACCAGAGTCAATGGAGCCAGAACAGCACCATTGCACAGTTCCTATGTGGAAAACGGCCATTTATATTTACAGTCTCTGTTGCTTGTTACCTGGCCTCGGTGGGGGACAGCTCTCTGAAATCCTCCAGCGAAGGAGAGAATTTGAGCAGCTTCTTGTACAGCGCCAGGGGAAAGTGCAGGTCGACCACAGTGGAGTTGTAGATGGCCAGTCCACAGATGATCCCGATCAGGTGGAACCAATTTGACTCTACAAAACACTGACAAGAACATGACCGTGCTGGCAGCTTTCACAGACCGAGGAAAATATAGCCAGATTTATACTTTACTCTAATGTAGTGCTGTCATGATACTAAAATTTCAAACTGAATTTCTATACTTAATATTCCTCGTGAAAGATAATGAAAAACTCTCTTAAATCATAGTACTTTCTTTTATATTTCCATGTGGTCTTATATATATGTATACTAGTCCATGTGCTCTTATACTTTCTTACGTTCTGATGCAGCTCAAGATCATTCTAAAGTTATTCAGGAAAGGTTCATTTTTTTCCTGTGAATTTGACTTTTTTTTTAGTATTGATTCCTGCTCAAATGAGTTTAGTTTCGATACTAGTTTTAGTATCACTTAGTGTCTGATTTCTGACACTTTTGACAACCCTAGTTTGAAGTGCAGAAAAAAATAAACACTATTATAATGTCCAATCTCGGTACGATATGCATCTCATGGTACGATATTTATTGCAATATTGATTAGAGATTAATATAATTCTAGATAGGACACTTTTTTGCTTTTAAAATACCTTGACAAGATTTTGGTGTGAATTATTACTCTCAGAATCCCAAGAATTCAAGTAAAAAACATATCTCCTTGTCGTCTGCATTGAAATGAATCATGGGATATGTAATTTGTGATGTTTATAAGATGTTGCGTCTATAAAACCATGTATTTAAGCAAAGGAACTTGTGATTCGATATATTGTGACATCCCATGATATTATTGTGAGATTTTTGACAATAAGATATCACAATATTTCGGTTATTATCACTATATATTATTATAAGTGGAAGTGAAAATGCTCAAAACGGTAATAAGCACATGAACAAACATAGTAAATTAGTAAAATATTGAATCACTATCACTACTGTTTTTCCATACACATCAAAATTAAATGTGCACTATGTAACATTTTGGTTGGGGATCCGTCACCTGCTTGTTTCTATGCATAAGTCTGCCTGGAATGTTCCGCAGTATGACATTAAGCAGGTCAACCTTACATTTATTCAATTCCAGGTGGTTTTATAGCTCAAAAATACCTAGAGAAACAGACATTCTGACTGTGAGCAGGGCTGCCTCGCCACAGATCTGACCTGTAACTTCTGATATGGAAGACAGAAAGGCTTAATACCATACTGTGAAACATTCCAGACAAAGCAATAACGTCTCCATCAAGAAAAGCATTTGATAGACTCTCCACCAGGAGAAAGTTACACAATGCATCTTTAATTATCTTTTTATACATTGCTGTTAAAGGTGGCGCTGTTCCAGTGATAAGGTCAAACACAGACTACAGGGACATGCGCTAAGCCAGGAGAAGCTTACGTGGTTCAGTGCGAAACAATAACACAGTTTGAAGCTAAAGTTCATGTGAGTTAACATAATACCAATCTCAAATCTAACAGATGCTTAATCCTTTTTCAACAAGTACTTTTTGTGTGAGTCATGAGCACAACGAGATCATGACTGAAATATAAAGGGATAGAATGTTATTAGAGCTACTGACTTTGCAATGACTGTGATTTAAAATGTTAAAAGGTCCTATGTTACGCAAAAATTGAGTCTTGTGAACTTTAAGCCATGTTATAAAGCTGTTACCTCATCAGAAAACACACCGTATTTTTCGGACTATGAGTCGGACTTTTTTCATGGTTTCAGTGGTCCTGTTACTTATACTCCGGTGTGACTTATATATAAAAATTTTCACACTGACAGCTGTGAGAGACTCTAGGCTTTTGTGTCAGTATCTGCTACTCCTATTACTCCTGTACCACTGTCACTTCGCTCTACTGAGCATGTCTCCTGCAGAAAAAGCTGCTATCCTGCTGCAAGTAGTGAAATATGCAGCCACAAAAGGTAATGGAACAGCAGAAAGAAAGTGTGAGTGCGCAAGAAACTTGTGAGGGACTGGCGAAAAGCGGGAATGGAGAACACAGCTTCACAGCAACCTGGAGGTTGCGCCATGCAACTTTCCTGGAAGTCACTGGATGGATCAACAAAGCCTGGACTTCAGTGACACCGAAACCATCCTGTCAGGATTCAGAAAGGCCGGAATAATTCTAACTGAAACTGATGCTGAGTCTGACAACAGCTACACAGAAGAGGAAGCGGCGCTCTGTTTACCTCCAGAGGTCGCGGAGTTGCTTAGAAGTGACACCGAGGATGAAGAATTGAATGGATTTAGGGATTTGAAGTGAGATGGAGAGTTTGGTAAACTTGTTCTGTTCTGTTGTTTATGCTATAGTTATCTGAAGAACTGTTCATATGTGACGTTAAAACTTTGTTGTTCTCTGTTCTATTTTTATTACTGTAACTTGCCTTTCAAAATGGTTTCCTGGTTTCAGATTTTATAAAATAGTGCAAAAAGTGCAACTTATAAATGTTTTTTTCTTCATTATGCATTTTTTGGCTGGTGTGACGTATACTCCGGAGCGACTTATAGTACGAAAAATACGGTACCTGGAGATGTGTTTTGTTTCATTCACACATATTAATCTTTTATTATTTGTCTGTCTTTTACCTTTTGTTCTGTAGCGATCGACAACTCCAGGGTGGAAATTATACAAATGATTCTAGTGAAGGTGTGTGGAGTTTAAAAACACAATGGAGCACTTTCTGTATTACCACATGTTTTTTGTTTGAGAGAAGAACTCAACCTAAATATACAGGGTTTGTGTATTAATAAACATGTGTGAATGAAACAAAACAAAATTCTAGGTATGTTTTTGATGAGGAAACAACATTATAACACAGATCAGAAAACAGCGTACAGGGACTCATTTCGTGTGTTCTTTCTGTGATGCAGCGACTGTGGAGACACTCACTTTGTCTGAAAACCAGAGCAGGTTGGAGTCTTTATAATGCGTGAACATGCCATAGACCGGATCCATCAGCTCCTTCAACAACAGCAGGAAGAACTCCTTAGTGACTCCACCGGCGTCTACGGCCTCCTCTCCATCGAAGATCACCTGAAGGAGAAACATATACAAGTTAATTATTTCTGAGGATTTTTGTAGGTGTTATTGGATAGTGTGAATAGGTTACTTGTCCAGACAAAACCACATGCTTTAATAAAACTTTACAAAGACGAGTGGGTCTGGAGCTGGATCCTATCTCCTTGATTTCAGATTTCAGAAAAACAAACTTATGTTAAAAAAGATGGAAAAAATTACACAGAAGACTAAAAAACAGCTCAGATTTTCTCAGAATCCGCAAGCAAAGCATCAAACTCTTATTTATCTCAGGTAAAAGAAGTTATATATTTTGTTCTGAATGATAGGAGAATTTCACAGGGGAGAAGTTTTCGACATTTGAGAGACAGATGCTATAAATTAGCGACTGTGATTGATTTTCATGCTGTCCGGTTCCAGATCCTTCTTTTGATCTATGTTATAATGTGGTTTCCTCATCAAAAAAAAAACATACCCAGAGTTTTGTTTCATTCACACATGGTTGACACACAAACCCTGCATATTTAAGTTCTTCTCTCAAACAAAAAATAGTCAACCATGTGTGAATAAAACAAAACACAACTCCAGGTATGTTTTTGGTGAGGTAACAACATAATAACATGGCTTAAAGCTCACAAGAGTCAGTTTTGTGTAGTATAGGAGCTTTACTGATCTCTAGAAAAATGAGAAATGCAAATCTATTCCTGGCAGAAGGCAAGTCCCTGAGAAAATTCGGCCTTAAAAAACCTTAAACCTTAAAAAAAAATAGCCAATGACAAAAGAAAACTGCTATTCAAAGAATGTACATTTTGTAACTTGCTTCACCAGTTTTTGTTTTAAATTAAATCCGTGAAAAGGTGCAGGACATATTGTCATGATTTGTTCTATAGTCCAGTTCCAGACCCTTCTGGAATCTGATCCAGTTCAAGCGTCTTTCCATAACCACACCCCCCACCATCTGAGCTCCTCCACAACCACACCCCCAACCGTTCTCTCCACCCTCCTGTCTCCCCCCAACAAGACTAAACATAAGACTTGAGGAGCAGGGCCTTCTCCGCTGTTGCCCGCACCCTCTGGAACTTTCTTCCCAAACACATCAAAGACTCATCCACACTGTCCATGTTAAAACAAACCCTGACAACTCTCCTTTTATATCTGTTTTTTATTTGTGTTTTGCCTGTCTTGAACTGTGTGAAGCGTATTTTGTCATGAAAAGTGCTATACAGTGTTATGTATTATTACAATTATTATTATTATTATTGAGTTTAGTAAATTCAGGTTCATTCTTTTCCGCTCTCACCTTGAGGGGTTTCTTGAGGTCGACATCTGAGTACATGGAGACTTCGCGCAGTGTGTCGCTCACTAAATGGTCCCTGCGAACGTGCAGCACCAGATAAGGGTTCCTTGCCAAGTGGGGTTCCAGTGTGAGCAGCATAAAGACATTGTGTAGGTTTGCACCACTGACGGCCATCTTGAAAAAAGGACAATGCAACGAAACAAAGATCAGACAAGGACAAGGGCACAGACTAATAATTATTACTCAACTTAACGATACCCAGCCCTATTACTCAAACATGCATTAATGAAACAAAACACAACTCCAGGTAAGTTTTTGATAAGGTAACCACATTATTAGCCTGATTCATCAGCCGGCGTTACTTCGTTTTACTTCGTTTCACTTCGTACAAATCGTCTGACCTCGCAGCCTTAGATTTCGTTTGCTCGACAATAGGCGGGTACTTTTTATCATTTAACCAATTGCTGCTATTTGGTCGTGACGTATGTAATGCACCGCTAACGGGGCTAACTGATATATTAAGCTTTTCCCAAAACCCGTAGGAAGAAGGACAATAACGTCTTTCCCCTTGATGAAATTCACCAAACATTCTCTTTATTCCGGCCTTAAATCCTCGATCTCGGGAATCGTTGACAACACTGAATATATGACTCTTCGCTGATTGGCTGGTGCCTGAACTTGCACATCCGGGGTTTTTGCGAACCGTCTATTGTATTTTGATTCCTGACCTACTTGATGGAGCGAAATTAAATTAAGCGGAGGCACTAGGTGGGGCCAGCCTGGCTACAACATTATAACATGACTTAAAGAGCTAATTTTGCACAATAAATGACTTGTAATACATTTTGATTAAAGGTTGTCCTGGTATTATCAGTCTTAATACCTGCATTTGCAGCTCGGCGTCAGTCTGCAGCATGGTTGTCTTGGCTTGAGCATTCAGTATAAATGGGTAGGCACAAAGGTTCACTGAGGTTAAGTCATTCTGACAAGACAAAACAAGTTGTATTAAAATATACTGATTTCAACAGAGCTTTGAGGAAGACGAGTCCCTACTCATCATTTTTAAAAAGTGAGAAATACATTTTAACACTTGCAAAATATTACATTTAAAAGTGTTTTACCTTGGAAGGAGATGACCCAGTTTTCTAAAAAGGGAAAGAAAATTTGATTTTTTAAAATTCATTGCTGCTAGACAAAGGACGAGGAATTTCAAATCAGAAATAAATTGACTTTCATAACTCACAATGTCGGCTCGACTTAAAAACCACTTGAGGTAGTCTTCCTGGATGTCCACCAGGTTGGTAATGTCAGGGATGTAAAAGCTGTTGTAGTCTACGTGCTTGGCCTTTAAGTTTACCTAGCAACAAATGAGAGACAGAGTTCACCAAACGTCCCTGAGGCCAGTTCAGAACACAGCTGCTGTAACCGTAGACTGAATAACGGAGTGGACCAAGCGAGTGTGACGTCACCCACAGCGTTCTGCTCCGCTCAAATGACGTTCACTGACGCTAGCAGTTATAGGAGCGAACTTGGAGCCAGTTCCGTATTAGGAACTGATTTACGAACAAAATAGCGAAATAAAAACACCAGGATCACGTAGAGCGGGTTAATACGAACAGTTTAAGACCAAATGAGGAGTCTGACAGCAACAGTTATGGAGAGAGGGCTGACATTTTTTTAATACAAAGTGAACTGGAGCCAGAGTTGATAGACCCGGAAGCACCCCCATGCTCACTTCCTATTTGTTTAGCCATGTTCATTTACAGTCTATGATTATAACATGAAGCACGATGCATTTCAGTGTAACTTTAGAAGACTTGTGTTTACCTTGTGAAGTTTTTCAAGGAGTCTCAGTGTAGCCAGGAAATAGTTCTCATAAAACACAGGCACCACCACAGACTTTCCGAGCGTAAGCATGAAAACTACAATCCGCTTGTACATGTCCACCATTCTCCTGAAGACACTGCCCTCCACAAAACACCACCAGTTATCTGTACGAAGAGAAAACATGACAGGACTTCATGAAGAATTGTTTTAAAGGGGCCCATATTACGCTGTTTTCTGATCTATGTTATGAAAAACGTACACTACCGGTCAAAAGTTTTAGAACATCACAATTTTTCCTTTTTTTTTTAATGTTTACTGTTGACCAAAACGTATTCTAAACTTTTGATTCATGAAAGTGTCCACCTTTGGCAGATATAACAGCTGGACACACTCGTGGCTCGTTCTTTTTACAATAGAAATCAAATATTCTTCAGAAAGTTCTTCCCAAGTCTATTGCAGTTCCCATAAATGTGTGGCACTTGTAGGTTGCTTGGCTTTCACTCTTCTGTCCAGTTCATCCCAAACCACTCTTATTGTTGTTGTTGTTATTATGTATTTGTGCAGCACTTTGGAAACTGTTTGTTTGTGAAATGTGCTATAGAAATAAAGCGGATTGGATTGGATACCAGCTCGATGGGGTTTAAGTCTGGAGACTGGGCTGGACACTCCATGTTTTCAAGCTTTACCATCTTGTTCTTTTTTCCTGAGGTAGTTTTGCCAGAGCTTGTACTTGTGTTTTGTTTATCTTTAATCTTTTTTTAATCTCTGGCTGTTCAGTTCTTACCTTTGTACCATTTCAAGCTCTTCATTGGACTTGCACAACTTGAATTGCAATAAATAATTGGAAAAATTAGGGTGTTCTAAAACTTTTGACTGGTAGAGTATCTGGAGTTGGGTTTGTTTCTGTGAAATGTTTAACAACCACACCCTGCATATTTAGAGTTTTTCTCTCAAACAGAAAACACTCTGATGTCATGTGGTAATACAGGAAGTCCTCCACTCTGTTTTCAAACCCCAGACACCTTCACCAGAATAATTTGTGTAATTTCCGCTCTGAAATTTCCTATCTCTACTAAAGAGCTGACAGAGAACTTGAAAACTACAGCTTCATGACATCACAAGATGGAACAAGCATTTTAAACTTTGGAGGCAGACTAATAATAAAGGGTTACTCAATAGGGTTGTGCAAAAATATTGAAATATCGATATATCGTATCATTTAATGTGATGATACAGTATTGATATCGTGGACTGCTGTATCGATATATCACCAAGAGTATTTTTTAGTATATTTTAGTAAATTATTTTGTTACAGAGTTACAGTTTTGTTGCTTGTTTAGTGGAAGGAAACTCATCTTTGCAACACATTTGACATTTTCACTGTTTTGATGATTAAAATGGGCGTTTCATATGAACTTTGAACAAGAAGTGGTTTAACAAAGACTTTTCGTATCACAGTCATGATTTAGCCATTACTTTTTCCTGAACTGTATTGAATTGATTTGAAATATATCATATCGAATCAAAACTGCACTGTATCGAGGTATGTATCGTATCGGCAACTTCTTAATGAGACCCGGGCCTATTACTCAAACAGGATTGAATGAAACAAAGCACAACTCCAGGTCTGTTGTCGATGAAGTAACAGCATTATCACATGGCTTAAAGCTTAAAGAGTCAACTTTGAGTAATACAGAATGTGACGGATGCCGTCCTCGTTGTTTTTTTTTCCTTGCCTCACCCCACCTCAGATCCACCCACTTCGGATCCGCCCCGCTGATCTGCCTCACCTGGTCCTACTAATCAGCGGGGGTATAAAAGCCGGAGCCAACCCGAGAATGTGATCAGTGGGTCCTCCGCTGCAGCGATCCTTAGTTGTTTATTTTTGTGTTATCTCTATCTACGTTTTTGTAATAAATATCCTTCTTTTTTTCACCTCACCACGCTTCCCGTTTTGTTCCACACCCGGTCCATTTTAACATCTTTTTCAGTTACCGTGCCACCCCCTAGGCTCCCGTGTCACGTAACACAGAACATTTTAAAGTTATAATTCAGTTCATATTTATTTCTTACCTAATACTTTGCTTGGGTTTGTGTCCAGCCGCAGAATAGCAATGGCAAAGGGAATCGTGAGTCGGATGAAGTTCTTGGAGTCGTGCATTAGTGGACACTCGGACAAAATGAGGTAGATCCTCATGGCTTCGACATCGGGCGGCGAACTGGGCAGCTGAGGGATCAACAAGCTCTCAAAACTTTTGGTGGCCTGTATGAAAAGATGGAAGAAAAAACAGAAATTAGTCAGCATCATTATTTATTTATGTTTTAATTGTTTTACAGGATCAGAGCAACACTTTTATATCTTCTTATAATCTGCAAATGTTTGTCATGTTTCAATTCACCGTTTCATGTTGTGATTAACGTATGAGTGTTTGTGAGTGTTCGCCACCTGCTCGTCTCCATGGAGATGTTATTGCTTTGCCTGGAATATTCCATAGTATGACATTAAGCATTTCCTTTAACCCATAAGAGGACTGATCCCAGGACTGACCCAGGAGGACTAAACCAGGACTGAACTAGGACTAAAACAGAACTTAATCAGAACTGAAACAGGACTGAACCAGGACTGAACGTCGGGACGGGCCGGAGGTAGACTGTTGGGTGACCGCTTTTGAAAGGACCTGGTTTAGACCTGGTTTAGACCTGGTTTAGACTTAGTTAAGACCTTGTTTGGTCCTGGTTTGGTCCTGGTTTGGTCCTGGTTTAGACCTGGTTAAGACCTGGTTTAGTCCTGTTTTAGTCCTGTTTAGTCTTGGTTTAGTCCTGGTTTAGACCTGGTTTAGACCTGGTTTAGTCCTGGTTTGGTCCTGGTTTAGTCCTGGTTTAGACCTGGTTTAGTCCTGGTTTAGACCCGGTTTACACCTGATTTAGTCCTGGTTTAGACCAGTTTAGACCCGGTTTACACCTGATTTAGTCCTGGTTTAGACCCAGTTTAGACCCAGTTTAGACCCGGTTTAGTCCTAGTGTCCTCCTGAAGTTCTGTGAAAAATCATCTGCATGAAGTTGGAAATTATTTGCTGTTCCAAAAATCGTTTATGAATGCACTTTAAAAAAATATCACAATACAATATCAACAAAACATACACATTCTCAGTTGTTATTGAAACTCATCATTGCAGGAACACAAAAGATCCATTTACTTCAAAGACCCATTTATTTCATAGTGTGAATAGGGATGACTCTCCACAGATCTGAACTGTAATGTAGCGTAGTGCTGTAACCTGCTTGTCTCCCTCGTGATAGATTTAACCTGTACTGTGGAACATTCTAGACAAAGTAATAACATTTCCATGGAGACAAGCAGGTTGCGGACCCTCCACCTTTAATGTTTCTCTTATTCTGTGAAGCACTTTGAATTACTTTGTGTACGAACTGTTCTGTACAAATAAACTTGCCTTTCCTTGAGTGTGTACAAGTCGAGATGTCTAAAAGAAGGGAGGGGTTTTCAGTGGTTAAAAGTGCAGCCACACACTTAAATTATATTGGTTTTGTCAACATAAATCCGTAGACTGACATTACTGGTCTAATGTTAGAAGTACAGTATGACTCATTACAGGCCACAGATCTGCAGCAGAACAAGCTGTACCATCAAAACAGAATGAATATGTATTTTCCCTTATGTCAGAGAAGCTGTGGGTGAAAGAACACTGTCAAATATGCAGTTCTGAATGTTGTTTTTAAAGTGTCCATATTAAGCCATTTTCTGATCTGTGTTGTAATGTTGTTTCCTCATCAGTTGTGTTCAGGATGTGGTCTTTTCTAAAACTTTCTCAACCCGTTCCACGTTGTGATGTCACGTGGTAATATAGGAAGTGCTTCACTGTGTTTTTAAACTCCATACACCTTCATTAGGATCATTTGGATGAATTTCAGCCCTTGCCAAACTACTGATCTAAAGGTAAAAGCAGCTGTTATCAAAAACTACCGCTTCATGACATCACAAGGTGTGACAGAGCATTTTGAGCTTTGGAGACTAATAATGAAGGATTATTCAAGCATGTGTGGATGAAACAAAACACAATTCCAGGTTTGTTTTTGATTAGGAATTTTTTTTAGGTTAGGGATCCACCTCATGCTGGTCTGCATAGAGATGTGTTGCTTTGCCAGGAATGTTCCACATATCTATCTTGCATTTATTCTATGTGTTTTAAGTTCTCAAAAATACCCTGAAAAACATGCATTCTTATACAATAAGCACGGTCACCTCTCCATAGTGGTGAACTGTAACTTGGCCTTGTGGTGTCTCCATAAAGATGGACAAGTTAAATGTAATATTGTGGCCATACCAGCTTGTCAAAGCCTGAACTCATCAGCTCTCAGACGCTCAGCTGGCCTGGTTAGGTACTTGGATGGGAGACCACTGGGAAAATCAGGTGCCACAGGGGGACACCAGTGGTAAAAAAAAAAACTGTCATTGTGTCCTTAGGCAAGACACTTCACCTACATTGCATGGTAAGAAAGTGGAGTGTGCGTGAGTGATGGTGGTGGTCGAAGGGCCCGAGTGTGCAGATTGGCAGCCTCGCTTCCATCAGTCTGCCACAGGGCAGCTGTGGCTATTATGGTATCTTACCACCACTGAGTGTGGAGTGAATGAACTGTAAAGCACTTTGGGTGTCATGAAAGGTGCGATATAAACGTAATGATTAATTACTAATTAACATTCCAGGCAAAGCAATCACATCTCCATGGAGACCATCAGCTGGCAGACCCTCAACTAGAAAAGTTACATAGTGTAGTACATCATCAAATAAAACAAAAAAAAAAATGCAATAAAAAGTACTACTATAGAACTACTAGATTAATATTCTCTTGAAATGTAGAAGTTGTGGCTCAAGCATCAAGCAAAACTTTTCTGGTTTATCAGGTTACAGTCTTGTTTCTGTCCACATAGATTCATTTGTGCCATACCTGCTCTAAGAGTGCAGAGAAAGCTGGCTGACTGAGCGCCTCAAACAGGGCCCGGACCGAGTGGATATCGATTCCTGGGATCTTGGGGTTGGTTTTAAAATGTGCATCGTCGCTGAAAAATAAATCAAACATGAAAGTGAGAAATGAGTGACATTTTGGATAATCAGTACAGGAGCAGAACTGGGTCAGACAATAGATGGAAAAGGGTGTGGGTAAGCCTTATATAATATAGGTATAATTATAATTAAGCCATTATATAATACAGGTATAATTAGATCTACCACAATAACACATTCCAATGTAATGATAAACTATAATGTTGAAACTAGGTAATGCTAATAACACAATAAAAATAAGGCAAGATAATCCCAGTGAATCATTTTACTAAATATACATGTGCTACACAAGTAAATACAAGAATGAAGCTTTAATTAATAATAGAAGTTACTTATTCAACCCTTTTCAGCTCAAATCTTACCGTATTACATAAAAAATAGCAAAAACATTCTATTATTACAACCAAAATAGACACATGATAAATACTGAGCCCCGAAATATATTGTTCTAGCTTTCATATATTGAGTAATAAGACAATATAATTAATGATCTACTCAAATTTTATTACAATAACTCACCATTATGTAACAGATAACCCTATGTCCTGTCAATCATCGTGTTGTTTTTGCACTGTTTTCCTATTGACCTCTTGTATATAGCTGAGACATTTTTATTTATTTGTACTTATTTTCTATTTTAATTTGACTTGTACATTTATATAATTATACCTTACTTGACACCTCCTCTTGTGCCGTCTTTTTTGCTACTTATTTAGAATGTATTCCTATTTTTTATGCTTTGTTATTATATTTATTGTGATGTGTGAGCGACTGTATCCAAATAATTTCCCTTGTGGATCAATAAACTTTGTCTCAGTATTAAGTAATACAACAAAAATAACATAAAACTCCTCATTACTGCAAAGAAAACGTGAAAATCATAAATATTGACCCCCAAAATATATTGTTCCTGATATCATATATTACGATAATTCGACATTAGGGGTGTAATGCTACATGTATTCGTGCTGAACTGTTTCGGTACGGGAAGTTCAGTTCGGTGAAGGGCTGTGAACGCTACTACATGTGCATCTACACGGAAGGCTAGGCACTTTAATATTCATGAAGGAACTCGTCCGTGATTGGGGTGGCAGTGTTTCCCGCAGCGCTTTATAGTTAGGGCAGCCACCTTGACTATGTCTCTCCGAACCACATGCATCCTCGCAAAACTACGTTCGCCGCAACACAGTCCTCACTCTCAACTATTACCAGCACAGAATCTCTGCGCCCTGCACTTACTGTTGACAATGTGGACAAGTTGGTTTCTCTGGCCAAAAATATGAACATTGAGCAAAACTTCATGCTGGAACTGTTCGTGCTGCACTTTACTTTTTGAAAAGTTTTGTTTACTCTTTACAAGGAATTTATTTTTTATAATCAGGGTATCCCCAGGTTTGACTACCTCAAATTTAAGACTTTTTAAAGCCCTTTTTAAGACCACTTAAATGAAAATTAAGACCAACATCGTACCCATTATGCGGGCGAAAAACACCACATCCAATTCGAATAATGACCAACCAACTACTGCATCTAGAATCTAAAAGAGCCACTGTGGATTAAACCTACACTTCCTCATGATCCATCCAGCATCCTCCTCCACTATAGTGATTCTTTACTCATTGCCGTCGGTGCCAGAAACCAAAGTATAATACTCCAAATTAGACGTTAGTCACGTTACATGATTTCACGTTGTTGTTTTTTAATTCCTCCGTTTAACGTTGCACTGCAGCCTGGTTGAGTTTTCACACAAAAAAATAAATAAATAAATAGGCTAATGAAATTTGTGAAAAAAAAAGACTTGGACAACATAATTTAAGACTTTTTAAGACCTTAATTTAGGAACATGAAATTTAAGACCTTTTTAAGACTTTTAAGAACCCGCGGCTACCCTGATAATGTTTCATACTTTTGTTGCTTATTTGAGACTATTTTATTTAACGTATTAAAAATGAATGAAGCCGTGACCTCAAAACCGAGATACACACCGAACCATGATTTTGTGCACCGTTATTGGGCACCCTTATTGGATATGGTAATTATCGTGGCAGGCTTAGGTACAATACTATTTAATCTTTGCATTGTTTTCTCCTTACGACCTCTTGTATATAGCTGAGATATTTGTATTACTATATTTCAATTTTTTTCTATTATACTTACATATGCATTTATATAATAACACCTTATTATTAACAGGTCACAATATACGTTACTCCAGATGTTTTAATTGCTCGTAATTTAAACAAAAAACATGCATTCATACTGTAAACTGCGTAACTTCTCCACAGATCTGACCTGCAAGTTGGCCTGGTGGTTTTACTTGCCTGCTCTCCTGGAAATAGATTAAAAAAAGTTTGCCTAAATCTAACAATATAACCCAAGCAGATTTCCTGTGGAGTCCTGTAACAAAGGTTCCACACGTAGCGCACGGCTTCAGAAGTGCGAGTCAAACCCTCAGCGTGTGACTCATACTATTTACAGTAGATATCTCAGTCTGAAAGCACAGGTTTTATTTAGACATCAGACCAGCCGTGGTGCAATAGAACACAGAAACGGGACACAGTGGGTAAGAGGGCCAATCGATGAATAAGCAGTCACTAGTATTTTCAAAAAGTCCAATCGTTTGCAGTGAAGTGACGATTAAAGTCCAATATTACGCAAAATTGTCTCTTGTGAGCTTTAAGTCATGTTATAATGTTGTTACTGTATCTAAAACATACCTGGAGTTGTGTTTTGTTTCATTCACACATGTTTGAGTAACTCTTTATTAATAGTCTGTCTGCATCCCCAAAGCTCAAAATGCTCTGGTCCACCTTGTGATGTCATGAAGCTGCAGTTTTCTAATTAACAACTACCTTTTACCTTTAGTTCAGTACAGATGGGAGATTCCAGGGCTGAAATTATCCATATGATTTCAGTGAATGTGTATGGAGTTTAAAAACACAGTGAGTAGAGCACCTGTTGTATCACCACATGACATCACAAGGTGGAACAGAGTGTTTTCTGTTTGAGAGAAGAACTCAGCCTAAATACGCAGGGTTTGTGTGTTAAACGTGTGTGGAACCAAAACACAACTCCAGGTAATGTATGTTTGTGGTGATAAACAACATTATAACATAGATTAGAAAATAGTGTAATATGTGCCCTTTAAAGATTTAAATTTTTTTCTCCCCAATTGGGCCATTTTTATTGTTTCAATTAAATTTGTGAATGAAACAAAACACAACTCTAGGTATGTTTTTGATGTGGACATTTTTTTAGGTTAGGGATTCACCTGATGCTGGGCTGCATAGAGATGTATTGCTTTGCCAGGAATGTTACATAGTATGGCATTAAACTTGTCTCTCTTGCATTTATTCAATGGCAAGTGTTTTAATTGCTCAAAAATACTTTGAACATCATGCGTTCTTATACAATGACCACTTGTATACAGCTGAGATATTTGTATTAGTATATTTGTATTTTTTTTTTCATTTTTACTCTTGATATTTGACTGTTAAAGGTCACTATATAGCGGCCAAAATGCACCTCCGGCCACTGTGTGGCACTATGTCTTTGTTTTTTGTGGTTTGCGACCTATTTAAGACCTCTAATTAGGCAATACAGGTGTTGCAAATTGATGAGGAACAGTCTTTTGACCGTGTTCATGGCTCTTGCTAAAATAAAGGAATATTTGAGCTTTTACTGGACTTTTGGGCTAATTTATATGGAAACACGCGTCAGAACTACCTTTTAAAATTTGCATCCTAGTGGCTTGTGTGGCATAGGGCCACATTGCCCCTACAACGTCACTTATACGTTAATATACGTTAATATACTTCCTGCTTCTGAAGAGTGCGGACGCTATCCTTGCTTGCTCCTGCTGTTTTCGCTTTTTAATCAGTTTACCTCCTCCAACAACGGATAATGTGCCTATTTTTGATAATGTGTCTATTTTTGATTTCCTTTTAAGAAACATTTTTACATTTTTTAACAAATCATCTGATGAGCCAACATGTCGGGGAGAAGAAACCAAGGGAATTCTATCTGTGACCGCTGTCGGAACTATCAACAAGAAATTTATGAGCTGCGAGCACGGATATTTGCTTTAGAAACTGAAAAAGGACTTCATCAGACGCTATCAGACTATCAGTGACTTCCAGGGGTGAGCAACCTACAGTTATTTCCAGAGAAGAGGGTGGAAATTCTTTCAACTTAAACCTGAGTGATACTGTGTCTTTTCCCAAACTTGGTACAGACCAAAATGCTAAGCCAGCGCAGCGAGTGGTAAAAGACAATGCTAATATCGTTATATCACCCACAATAAAGCTAACAAACAGATTTTCACCACTGTCACAGACTGATGTTAAAGTACAAACGGATAATGTACTGTCATCACAAAACAAGAACAATAAAGTTGGCAAAAGAGTGCAGGCATACCGGGAATCTGTGTTAAACGTCAAGGTCAGAGATACGTTGCTGTTAGGAGACGGGGCTATCACTGGTGTGAGTCACAGAGAAATCCTAACATGCTGCTACCCAACCTACACTGTTTCTGAGATAACAAAACTCCTGCCAAAAGTTCTGTCAACACACCAAGGGGTTAAACAGCTGATTGTGCATGTGGGTGCAGTGGACATCAGAATGGACCAGAGTGAAGTCTTGAAAAGGGATTTCACTAAATTATTCGAGGAGCTTAATAAAGTGGAGGTTAAGACATTTATCAGTGGACCTCTTCCCAACATAGACCTAAGGAACAGGAACAAATTTACCCGACTGTTTCAGCTGAACACGTGGCTGCTGAACGTGTGTGCGGCCAGAGGATTGCACTACATTGAGAACTTTGATCTTTTTTGGAAACGGAAGGACCTGTTTGAGGGAAATGGCCCACACCTAAGCAGAGGTGGAGTGAGAGTGTTGACGGAAAACCTCCTCCACGCTTTGAGGCACCGGCCTGGACAGGGTCCTGTGCATCCAGTGAGAGAAAAGAGAAATGGGAGAAGCATCCCTACTGCACCAA